TTTGATCAATTCATAATAGCTCTAGCCCTATATGTAACAATGAGCCCTATGAATCTTAACCAGAACGTTCCTTCCCAGACTTACAAAGCCTTGCCTTCAAATGCTTGGGTACTAGTGAAGCAGTGAATTACTGCAGAGATCTGATAAAAACTCCACTGCAGTCTGTAGCCATCCGAGAGAGGGAAAGACAAAGAGAAAAACTGAGTATGAGGGAAGAACAGAGAGACACGAGTGATGAAAAGATTTGAGAGCAGAACAAGGCTGGCTTAGCAAAACTGACATTTATCCTTCTCTGTTCACATAAAACACAACAAATGCTAAATCTGCCCTTGGAGGCATTTGGAGAGCAAGCACAGATAAATACGCCAGATGGAAAATGTTTATGTAGGACAGTGGATTCAGCTATGGCAAGGTTAGAAAAGCTGGCTGTAATTTCAAAGTCACTGGTTTCATACATCAGACCTGCTGAGAAAACCTGGACGGGGCAGGTATATCAGCAAAGTGCCCTTGAACAAGATGCTTCAACATTAGCATTAAAAAACATTAGCAGACTGTTTCAAATACGTGGAAAACAACGTAGTGGTACATTATTGCTTCTGTGGTTATCCATAAAGAGTATCTGATTTTTGCCAAGTAAATGTCAATGAATTATCAGTTGAGCCAGCGGTCATCAGAACAGATAATGGCTACGCTTAATGGAGTCTTGATCTGCAGTCCAGAGAAAATTGGACAGAAAACAGTCAGGACGAGATGTGCATTGTTAAGCTTCCAGTGCTCTGAGTTTTCAAGCACTGCAACAAATCCATCCTTCATCTGGCTGCTCAACATGCTCATTTCATGACAACAGGGCAACAGCGGCCTAGTTCAAACCGAAACCATCACTGTGTTTAAACAATAAAATGGACTGTGTTGGTGAGAGACTGGTATCGGTGAACGCTGCAGCACGAGTACTGACAGGAACTAGAAAAAGAGATCACATCTCTCCTGTACTAGCTTCTCTGCATTGGCTCCCTGTAAAATGTAGAATAGAATTCAAAATTCTCCTCCTCACCTATAAAGCTCTTCATGGTCAGGCCCCTGCATATCTTAAAGAGCTCATAGTACCCTATTACCCCTCTAGAACACTACGTTCTCTGAATGCTGGGCTACTTGTGGTTCCTATAGTCTCTAAAAGTAGAACAGGAGCCAGAGCCTTCAGTTACCAAGCTCCTCTCCTGTGGAACCAGCTTCCAGTTGTGGTTCGGGAGGCAGACACCCTCTCCACATTCAAGAGTAGGATTAAGACGTTCCTCTTTGATAAAGCTTATAGTTAGGGCTGGATCAGGTGAGTCCTGAACCATCCCTTAGTTTTGCTGCTATAGGATTTAGACTATCGGGGGATTTCCCATGGTGCACTGAGCTCCTCTCTTCCTCTCTCTTTCTGCACTCAATTCATGTCCCATTAATGCATGTTACTAACTTCACTTCTTTTCTGGAGTTCTTGTGTTTTCTCGTCTCGCAGGTTCTTATCGATCCTGGCGGAGCCTCCTGCTAGACTGCCATTGCTAATGCTGTCTCTCTGTCTCTCTCTCCAACTGGTCGAGACAGATGACCACCCACCTAGAGCCGAAGGATCTGTCCTAGGTTTCTGCCTTTCAACAGGCAGTTTTTCCCTTGCCCTTGTCGCCAAGTGCTTGCTCATAGTGGTACTGTTGGGTCTCTGTAAATAATGTTATAAAGAGTTCGGTCTAGACCTGCTCTATTTGAAAAGTGTCCTGAGATAACTTCTGTTATGAATTGGCGCTATACAAATAAAATTGAATTGAATTGAAAAACGTAATACAGCCAGTATGAGAGATAGATCCATAGGTTTGATGGCTTATCTGACACCAAAACACTGTACAATGGTTTATAACAATACTTCGAAAAACATATCACGCTGGCATCTGGCGATTATCTTTTGTCATTAATCAAAAAGTATACACTGTGATATAGTTAGTATACACCTCCAACCAAATTTAAGTGGGTGCCAAACTGTCTCTGTCTTTCCTCCCAGACCTTCACTCTTTCCTTGGTGAACAAGTGGAAATAAACCTTAGCCTTACCTACCCTACCTGTGTCTTGTCTCACACCTACCACTTAACCTTTTTCACATTTTGGCTTTCACTGCAGAAAATATATTTTACCTACCTGCCATAGCAACTAATGGTCAGAACTACAATCTGATAACCCTCCAACCATGATGACTTTGATTTAAACCTGACCCTGAATTCAAATTTACTGGCCATCTACCATTTTATATAAGTATCACGTAGCAAGGCAGCAGAGCTGAACACCGTACCCCTTTATTGTCAAACCGTAGCATTTTCATATTGCCAGCAATTAACGAAAACCAGTAATGTTCTCATCTCAAGATTATTTCGTACCTTGCACATTTCTCTAATGTGAGGAAAAGTATGTTTTCCTAATCTTAGACAAAAGACGGTCATTCAGGTTACTTTAGTAAACTTAGCAAAGATAGCAAAAGTGGGTCATCTGAGTGAGGAGACAAACTAAAATCTTCTCCTAAACTTTAACTGATTATTTTTGTCAGACTGATGTCAAGCTGAATTAGCTGTTCATGCGGAAACGAATGGTGCAGTATAACTGCCAGCCAAATGGTTTCCCTTACAGAGTGAGAGCGATGGATAAAAATGTTTTCCCTCCCTGCAGTAAAGCTTGAACCCTGCCTCAACCTTGATCCTATCCATTTACAATCCTCCTCCCACTCACATTTGTCCTCTTCTTCTTCCTCCAGAATTGCAGCCCATCATCTCACCCCCTTTGTCTTCTTCCATTTTTTTTATTTATGGCTCTAACACCTCAACATATTTCTGCACTTCCCATACCAGACATTTCTAGAGACAGGTAAAAACATCCATAATAAATACAGTATTTCTGCCATCTGAGCACTGTAACCCACTCTTCACAAAATGTTCAATCTAGGACTTGCAGCTTATTTTGTACAGTTGTTCCAAATACATGCTTAAGAAGTGAAAGTAAATGTCAAGAGGAGACAGATATGAATCAGGCTGACAGGTGAGCGGACAGGTAAAAGGAACTAGAACAATCACATGCTGTACATCCTCATCTCAGTTCCCCCGAGGACCCTCTCAATCGAGGTGCTTGGCACACCACGACAACAGGGGACAATTCCTTACTTATTATACTTTTACAAACACTTAAGTTAGCCGTTTCTCTCATTTACTGAGTGATTGAAAGGTTTGACATAAATGAAGGAGGGAAGAATTAATGGACTGTCTGATAGCTATGGAGCCGTAGCCAAAATAATAAATTCCAACAAGGTTGGTGGTTCAAACCCCTATGGTAACCCCAGGTGCTAAAGACAGATCTGCATAACTTATATTTTAAGGTTTGTTACAAATACAAAGACACAGGTAAAGGCTAAAGAACAAGCCAAAACTCTGTATTTTAATCTTTAAGTGTCTGAATGTCAATGATTTCTTCAAGGATTTTCTATTGTTGGCCACAAATGTGATTAATCTCTACTTCAGCATGCCTTAATCATAATAAAAGTAGCAGTGGCCTCAGAGAACTTAGTTTAAATGGGTTAAAAAAGGACAGAGCTGAAAAGGGGAAGTCCAACTGCAGTGTCACTTCACAGAAACTCTTTCATCATTGCCTGTATTTCAACACACCGTGGAAATGTACCCCTCATATTTATAGCGATTTTTTAATCTCCTTGTGAAAACCTGAATACTGGCGACAGCCTCCCTACACGAGCCATATCAGGAGGCTGAGAGGCAAGAAAACTACATAATGAAGCCTTTTAGAGTCTCAGTCGATCCCTGCACTTCCTGACTGACTCTTACAGCTGTGTGGTCTCTTATCGAAATGTGCAGGTGGCTGCTTCCCCCTTTATTTACACCGCACACACAAACACACAAACAGAGTGCTGAGGCTAGGCTGAAAAGGGAACTGAGATCATGGTCTGAAATAAGCGTATAGTTCCCCTCCCTAACCAGTTTGAAGCCGTGTCCAATTTCTGCATTTTACTGATCAATTATACTGAAAACTGTTCGAGCATGAAAACTCTCCTTTCTCCTCAATCCGAAACTTCGAAAAGCTGAACATATGTTATAAAACAGTGAGGGAATTAGTGACATGTACTTTATAGAGCAGTGAAAGTTGAACCATGCAAAACACTTACAGGGAAACAGGAAAACTTGAACACGTATTTAGGTCGGGTTACTTTGGTAATTCCACAAAGGAACTCAGTTCTTACTCATCCGTTGATTGTCAACCTATTATCACCATCATCGATTCATAGAGAAGTATAGCTCAATGACAATTTACCTGAACAATTCACTAGCTTGCTGCTTTAAAACATCTATCCATCTATCCCATCTTCTACCAAACGATCAACCACTTTCTGAGTGAATGACTTGGACTCAAGTCCTAAAAAAGGAGAACTTGTCTTTCTAGAGCCTATACATGACTTTTGACCTGGTTAAATCCCAAAACAATAGATAAATGATGAATGAAACAAAAAACCAGGCCATGCACAGCTACAGTGAACACTGAATAGGTAATTAGTAGGCCTGTGTATGAGAGGACTTGGTCTCAGCTGTATAAAAACACACTAGTAATACAGCTTTTAAAAAGGAAAATTATCAAAATGCTGAGTTATTTTAACTGCCAGCATTCAGAGACCTGACTTGCAAATTGCTGATATAGACCCAGAGGTCTTCATGGGTTCAAAATGTTGGACCCAATCCGAATTGGACCCATGGAAACCCTACCTGAACCCAACAACACCAACACCTGCATCAGCATGATGATCTATCAATTAACAAGCAGCTGTGTCAAAATAAGCAGCAATAATTAAAAAAAATAATTGATCTGCTTCGAAGATTAATTTAAAGATATCATTTTGCAAAAACCCCATTTTGACCCTTTGATTCTACCACCCATCCCTCCATCCCTCCCTCCATCCCTCCCTCCAAGCGCTGTTAACTGACCTGTCTGGCCAACCTGCGGGCCTCCCAATAAGGCTTGGACTCCTCCACAGCCTTGCCGATCTTCTTCACCAGTTCGTCCAGTTTCACGGTGGCCTCTACCAGGACCGAGCGGAACTTCTGCCTCGCATCCTGACACAGAGAAAGAGGAGAGAAGCTTCAGTAATTCAAGTCAACACAAACTAGCATTCTGCACAAAATAAGGATACCATCATCACTTGTTGAATGTTTGAGGACTACCATACTTTATATCACCACACACACACTTTATGCAGGGATTTAGTGGCTATTCAGCCTTTAACACAAACAGTTAATACTATCATTCCCCTAAGCTCTACACCAAACACACCTAATAAAAGCTGAATTTAGCAACTTCAGACCTATGCCAAAACCTCACTTAGTGAAAATCGCATTAGTGTTCATTGATTTAAACAGAAGCAGTTATGTAAAAAGGTTTCACAGAAGAAAATGATCTACAACAGAGCTCAGTGCTAGATTAAATCAGATGTTTCTCAAATTCTGCCCAGCTTTTAAAAAGGTTTGTTTTATATCGACTACTACTTCTGAACACTTGCCACATGTGTTGACAGGGCGATGTAGCTCTCAACCCTTGACCTGCATCTTACTAGCTGCTTAATAGTCAAGGAAATGAAACTTGCTCTATTGCTGCCTCTGCTGTGAGTCACAACTGGTAAGAACTCATCATCCCCAGAGTTCAAAGATAAAAACTCAAAAAAGTAGGTCTAAATAATGGATAAGAAACATTATCTACCAACCATTAAACTGTATCTAATCTGGGCAAAGTTTTTACACCATGTGCCAGATAAAGCTGACACAGTTTTCCTGAGAACAAGAGTGTCCCAATAAACAGTGAAAAACAGACCCAATCCAATCTGTTGACAGGCGCCTGTGAAAAATGAATGTCTGATATAATTTTGGTAACTGGTATGATAAAAACTGTGTGTTCCATCTTAGAGAGATTTGTTTGTTCATTTGTACTAGTCATGGGGAATTTCTCAGACTGATAAGCATTCAGCTTTGAAATTTAATCATGGTTGTCCAATTGGCATGACGGTCATAGAACTTTCTAAGAACAAAAAGAGCAAGAGGAAGAAAAACAAGTTGGAAACTCCTACAGGGAAATGCTCTTTCATGTCTGCCATCCTTTGCCAGGGTCAGTTATACAAGTGACGACATGTTTTGGTGGCACTGTGCTCGATCCAAGGTCCTTCTGTTAAAAGACAAGGCCCATCTTGTTTGTAGGGTTTCCTTTTTTAGAAGCTAAACAGTCTTTCTTCATCTCAAAGGCTGAATAAGACTGCAGCTATGATCTTTGTTTGTCCGAACACGAAAAGGTTGCGTTTGATGCAACTAGCATCCAGCTGAGAATAAGCCTATTAAAACTCAAGTGGCACCAAATAACAACACTGAAGAGGAAATGACCACAATAGACAAGGTTTGATTCTCAGGTGCATCCACATGCAGTATGATTAGTACTACCTCAATGGCCATTCAGTTTGCTGTTCATGGGGGCTACTTCAGTACTCTGTATCCTCAGACTAGTGGGGAGTTCCACACATCTTAATCTCTTGGGTCATAGGTTTCAGGAGATAGTTGTTGGCATGTCAGAGCTGAACGTCAAATTCCTCCTTACCGATAAAATCACTAACCTTATGGCTTGAAAGATTATCAGTCCAAAAAACAGCTGCTTGTGAGATAACAACATAAAAATTCAACAAGGCCAGTCTTTCCACCATGATTACGATTTCACTTGTCTGATTCCAAACCTCTGAATCAGTGCCCAGATCCCAAATCTCTTCTGTGTTCAATAGGTTCGGACATTGGGGGGTGGAGAAACAATTGAGCAGCCAGACCTCTGTAAACAGGATCAATAATGGGGACCCCTTTTTTGTACATAGCCAAATAGCTGACTGCCGGTTTTTCATTGTGTAGCCTATTTCTAATGTTGTTATTTCTGGATGAGCACTTATATAAGGTTTGTAATGACTGAACACATTTAACTGCTGTGCTCTGTTTGTGTTCCTTTGAACTAAACTATGCTATGAACAATTCCCCCTAACTAATTCATATCTACGCTACTGTAAGAATTTCATACAATAACTTCAAAACTTCATCCATTCAACTTTCAACGGCTTTTATTAATGACAATGCTTCTGCAAGTTTGTAGTTTGGAAACGGGTAGTCTTGCACATTTAAAAAAAAAAAAAAAAAGTCTGCAAAGTTACACATAAGTTTAAATTCCCTAAACATGTTGTGGAGGGAGGATAAATGACCACACATTTCAAGTGTGCAATCATTATAGTTGTAAACTGCCTCTGTGCAGTGTTAGAATAGAAAGCCATTCTTCTAAACTAAAAGGGGGCAGTCTAACTGAAGCGTCCATTGCTTTAACTTGCACACGCAATCGTTTGCATTGTCAGACACCAGGTAATCCATTTAGGACTGGATCAAAAGCTGAATTCAATTGCAGCTGTTCAAAAACATGTTTCACAGTTAATTTGTTGAACTTTGAAAAACAGTCTAAAAAGGAAGCTCATGACACTAAAAGAAAGCTCGACCCTATTTGTCCCACTGGAGACCTCTGCCAGAACCCATTTAATGGAAAATCGTGTTAGCGTTTCATCGAGGTAACAACAGGCTGCAACTTTGAGGCTTTCAAACTACAAAACACAACAAAAAGGCTGCAGGATTTCACCATCAGATACATCAGCACTGCTCATTCATAACACATTTATGTTCTAAATGTGTTAATTTCAAGTCATTTCAAACTGGATGTCATTTAACTATTAAATCATATAGGAGTGGATATAGTAGTTCATCGAATTAAACTGTCAATGTTTAGTCAAGTCTGCACTCGTACATCACACAGAGTGGCAAAAACAGGACGTTACAACCATTTATCCATTACTTTATGAAATCTATTTTAAGTTTAACATATACTTTTTGCTGATTATTTCAATTGTTTATCCATCTTTTACTTCAAGCTAACTGTCCTTTAATTGCAATAACACTTACATGAATTGTTATAGCTGACTCAATATGTGGAAATATTTTGTTAATCAAATCATTAATTCAGTTTTCTCAAATGTGTCTACATTCCCTCCATGCACCCCCTGGCAACAGCAGATGTAGCCACAAGTAGCCCTGGTTGGGAATCCCTGTTCTAGGACATAATAAAAATAGTAGCAGTAACAATGTACAAGTCGTAAGACACTTTTTAGAGTGTCAGTTCAATATATGAATAAAACGTGTTAAAGACAGACTGTCCTTATCGCAGTACTGCATCAAACTGAACACCGTCATTGTGGTAAGAATACCCAGCAGGCCTGAGGCTGTGAGGAGGCTGCGGCAGTCCGAGGTTTTAGATCTGCACAACTGAAACCAACGTTCCTGTACAGTTTGCTTTTACTGATGTCTGCAGGTTTTGATCTAGACTTTGATCGTATCCTGCCCTCCAGGCCCATAGACATCAGTCAGTCCTCTCTTTTCCTCTCCAATCTGACTTTTAGCCCACAGATGTTCTGTCAAACTGATGTTTTAATCCTTCATGCAGCTTTTTTATCACTCCTTCGAAAAGACCCTCTTTCCCATCCATTCATCTTCTCTTGACCTTCACATCCCACAGCATGACCTCCATTTCTACACCAAATGCATTAATGCTGTAGTGTCAAAGAAATCTCCTCTTTCACTGCACTGATGCAATGTCAATGCATTTTCTGATATTATTTTAGTCATGCTGTAGGGATTAGTCACAACTTTGGCTCAAACTAAAATGTCCCAACAAGTACTATGATGAAATGTTTTATGATATTTAAGTAAATATTCATGGTGCTCAGAGGATGAATCCCACAGACTTTGATGGCACCCTGACCTTTCCTTTAGCACCCTCTGTGGTGGTTCCCCACAGGATGTGATAACTTTGGTGACCCATTAACTTTCTGCTAACATTTCTGACCAAATACCTGCAAAACAAATGAAATATCCTGTTTAAGTCCAAAGGCCAATGGACAATTATTTATTTATTTATAATATTTTTCTTATAATATTATTTCAATTATCTTATTTTAGAGTGTTACCAATTATTACCATTTATTGGTGTTTCTTTTTGTTTGTTTGTTTGTTTGATTAATAGATTAATTAACTAATCATTTTAGGACTAAAACACACAAACTACCTTACAGACAAAAAGAGGAAACTATACAATTTATAGTACAGTTGTTCCAGCACACTGGATCCAGTGAAACAGTGACTATGGGGGTGTGCAAAGTGCTGACTTTCAGCTTTAAGGGAAGGAAGGAATCATGACCCTTTCACCCTCAGTCACTGGCCCCCAGTTTGTCGAATGTGGACGTAAACGCCCTCAAATAAGCTGAAAGTCAGCAGTTTAACTTCAGTGTCAAACCCAACACAAGACTGTCCATACACTTACAAACTGCAGTAGAAATGACATATCAAACATGACAAAGCTATACACCCAACAATTACAAGAAAGAAAGCTTCTACAGAGCCAGAAACACGTCATTGCCCCCTTCCCCCCTGTCCTCTCCTCTGTATCTCACTGTCTCTGTGATTATACTGATGTTGATGCAGACTGCAGTGCAGAGTCTCTGTCCTCCCGCCCAGGGCTCGGACGCACACACTGTGACGCACTTCACCTTGTCCACACATTAGCACCCTGAGGCGTTATGTCTAGAACCTCTGCTAGATTAAATACAATTTGAATCACTGCTATGACAGTGAATTAGCTTCTTCACCTTGTGACACTGGGCTCATTTTGACTCCAGTCACTCTCCCCTCTCCTCTTGTCAGCATCATGATGAACGCCTCAAATCAAAAAAACTTATCTTTGGGTTAAATGACATGATCTCGCACTAATGCTGCTGCTGGCGGTTTCAATCCCTGAACCAAACTAAAGGGAGCTCTGTCAAAACTTTGGAGGGGAGAGATTAATCCTGGCAGGGGATCAGCAATGATTTAAGCACTTTTTATGTTTATGTGAGCAGCTGATGAGTAAACAGAGACAGAGACAGCAATATCCAGGGTCAAGGTCCTGCAATTACAAGCATCTGTCCTCCTTCAGTGTCCTTTAGCAAAACATTTCAATCTTTGACCTCCCTCTAAAGGCTGAGGAAGCTAAGGCTGCAATGCAACACAAAGCTAGACTGCTAATTATTTTCTTGTTTAAATCGAATAGTTTAGCCCAAGGTGATGTTTTCAAGTTGCTTATTTTATCCAACAACCAAACCCAAAAGATTTCAGGAAAGTATCATAGAAGAGTAAGAAAACTATTGATACAAATATTGACTTTGGAGAAGCTGGAACAAGATAATTTGGGGAATATTTGCTTAAACTGACTTAAAGAATGAATCGATCATCAAACTAGTTGCTGTGAATTGACAAATCAATGAAACAATCAGTCATTTTTAGCGCTAGAGAAGGCCAGGTTAATACTGATAGAGTATTCTATCATATTAATCATATCAGGTTATGATGGGCTTTATATTACGGTATTTATACAGTAGGGTTGCAACTAATGACTATTTTCATTGTTGATTAATCTGCAGATTATTTTCTGAAGTACCCAATTTGTGTAGCAAATAGTGGAAGATCCCAATTATAAGAGTGCCGTGAAAACCAGAAAATGTTCACATTCAAGAAGCTGGAACCAGCAAATGTTCTGTCCATTACTAATCAATTCATTTAAATTGTGGAATAAATGCTTTAAGTGCAGAACTAAAACACTGTTGAAGGGCATTTCCTGGAGTTGCTGTTGTTAGACTCTTTGACGTCATTTAAAATGTGTGTAAGCTATCTGTCCACATCTTTATCACTCAGTCTCGCTCCATCTAAGACAATATCCAGTGAGGGATGTTTGGTTTTCATCCGTGCCGTGACTATTTTTTAGATTTTTTCCCCTCTGACAGCAGACATAGTCCTGTCGGATAGTCCCGAACAGTGGATGTCTTTGTCAGACATGAAAACAACTTGACTTGATTTTGTAGTCCATGGAGGCATAAAGAAAGGTCAGTCAAGGATTAACAATGGGCAGGCATATGGCTCGGTACCTACAGGAGAAATGGGAGTAGGATGAACTGATCTGACAGGTCCCAAAACCACAGCTAAGGAGATAAAGACTGAAGATACTCTGTCCTCAAAACAAACAAAGGGAATATTCAATTTTGCAGGGGGGTTATGTTCAGAGGGCCACAAACATAAGACCCAGCAGATGAAGCACAGAAGGATGCTGGTTTCAGATGTTTCTAGGGTCTTTAGTTTAAGAGCAAAACTGAAAAACACAGGCATATACTGTAGATTATACACTTACAGTGAGGTTATGATGAAATAAAATAATATATATATGCTCTGCTCTTGGAACAACAACAGTGGTCAACCGCTGACAGCTTTGCTAAAAGGGAAATTAATCTGCCACTGTTTCGCTATGATTATCAGGTATGGGAATTAAGAACCGGTTCCACTTGAGAACCGGTTTCAAATTGTCCAATTTATCGGAATCGTCAAAATGATCAATTCCTTTCAACTGATGTTTTCCTGAGTGTATTGCAAAACAATGACGTCAAACTGCGCCTGTGCTGCTGGAAACTTGGAACAAGAAGAAGTCATGGTGGAGACCAACAAGCTAGTTGTAATGTCTGTAAAATTATCATTTCATGTTAGGGTGGAAACACCAGAAATAGGCTTATCTGTGCAAACATGGGCTTGAATTCCAGAAATGGCATGTCTTTGACACCCTATGCATGGGTGCCACTGCTTGCCACCCGAGAAGCACGTTTGTTACTACCAATGGTAAATATGTTATAATAACAAGGGACAAATCAATAAGGGAATCAATATAGAACTGGAAAGATTTCATATCAATGCACTGGTATCAATGCAATCTTATCAATTCCCATCCCTAATTACTAATTTTTCCAAGAACAAATGCCAATTTACTTCTATGCAGCTTGTCAGATGTAAGGATTTTCTTTTTTTGTCCAATATGTATGTATGGCTTTGAACTAACTGGCAGAATATTCAATGATGATTAGAAACATTACTCGCAGCTCTACATTTAATCAACATTTCTTCAGCTGTTCATCTCATTTTCTGGTTGTAGCTGCGGGTTGTCAATGATAATTAAGCTGCCACTCAAAACTGTTTCCACTTTCTCAGCCAACAAAATGTGATTACAGAATTGGAGTTTATGCTATCAAACCCTAATCGTGTTTCTGTTTCTTGGCATGCTGTTACACATCAAAGCGGTGTTAGAGCAAATTCTTCTGCATCATGGAGCCAGACGTGGTTCAGCTGAAAAGCACAGACTCTACAAGACTGTGGAGAAATGCTGAAGAACAACCGACCACAATTCTTGCTGTTAATTTAATTTTGTCAGAGTAAAAATCACTTTCTCGCCGAATAATAGATCTGTCATATAGAACTAAATCCATGTGCAGGCACAAACTAATGAACTCCTGTTCACTTCAACCTCTCAGCTGCCTGATTAACACAGTTCTCAAACTGACACAACTTTGGACTTTCACCTCTATAAAGCTACATATTGCTGACCTACATAAATGTAAGCCATCAGATTTTACTGGGTTTTGATGGGATTCAAAGATCAGTTATGCAAGTTAAAACAGCCTTGATGGCCCAAGTAACTGTCTCCGACTCTGCAGTGCATTATTTCTGCTTTTGGTCACAGGTTCAGAGAGTCCATTTCTTTATGTAAAAGTCATTGAGTGAGACTCTGAACTTGAACTCTGCCTACAGATTGCTCTGAATACAGGCGTCAGTAAAATTGCTTTAAATGCCTAAATGACTTTATTGTAACACAGTATGTCACAAAACTAGACACAGGCCAATTCCTCGTATGTTTAAAGTTGCTGACACGGAGCAAAATGTGAACTTCACAAACAGTTCGGACAGAGCAAAGGTCCAGCTGTAAGTCAGAAAAAAAACTGCTGTATCTGCACAGCGATGCCTTCAAAACAACGTTACAACTGACAGCTAGATTTCACAGACACAGTGAACACTTGGGATTTTAAGTCTTATCTTCTGACAGCCGTTACGTGCACATGATTACATGCACATCAGTCAAATTAGTAAAAAAGTGTTTGAGCACACAGATAACCTGCATGTACATTCAATATATGTGTGTGTGTGTGTGTGTGTGTGTGTGTGTGTGTGTGTGTGTGTGCAATGGACTGACCTCCAGCGCCGTCTCACATCTGTTGATGTCGTCGGTGGACTGGTTGAGTTTCTCCAGCTCCCCCTGAAGGAGAGGGAGCAACAGAGTGAGGAGGAGGAGGAGGAAGGAATGTAATATAATATCTGGAGGTATAGGAGGAGGAATGAACAACATCTGGAATGAATTAAGAATAACACAGCACCCTATGGAATTTTAAAATATTCATATTAAACTGAGGCACAGTCTTTACATTAGTGAATGGTTTTTAAGAATAAAACAACTTAAACTGAGTTAAACACAGCACTAAATATCAAATATGAATTATAATCAAATATTAAAGGACCCATCTGTAGGATTTAGTGGTATCTAGTGTTGTAGTTGCAACGCCCTAGCCTCACTCTCCTGTTCCAAGCTTGTCGGAGAAACTACGACTGCAAATCTCTCGAAAAACATGAATGGTGTTTCAACATGGCGGGCTTTGTAGAAGACGGCCCGCTCATTTCGGCCCATAGATCCTCCTAAATGTTGTCCTAAACTGTTAATCTGCCCATCTACAGGACAGACAGTTATACATCCTGTCAGACAGGTTACCTGAGACTACATCTTTTTTAAAAATGGCTTAATGTATATACATTTTGGGGGTCCTTAACACCAAAAAGCTTGAGAACCACTGTTTTAGATGACAATTTTGTTAACCGATTAAGCTTTTTCCCTCCCTCATTTTTTACAGTCCATAATCGATTCTGTCTGTTCCATTATATCAGCTGTTCTCTGTTTTTTATGCAGTTTATGCTTGAGACTAATTTTAGCTCATTATTCTTTGTACTTTAGTGAAAGACTGTAACTTAACATTGAAAAGCTCTGCATAAACATACACTCTAAACTAATCTCTCATATTATGTAGATCATTTTGATTCTGTCTTTTTCTCCGCTAATGACCAAACTCTCAGTTTTTGCTATGTTTACATGCATATATATACCTATGTATGTATGTTATGTATGTATGTATGTAAAAACACAAATGTTTGTAAATCGTAAATGATACAGAAGATTTTCACAGTAAAATATGATTTTAAATAAATAAATAACATCAGCATGACTGAACTGGTTTAGTCACATTTGCATCAGATTAGAACTGTAAAGAATTATGTTAGAAACAATATCAGATGTAAACTGAACAGGTAAAGTTGAATGTTTCTTATATTTCAAATATATAATATTGATATGATTGAGGAAAAGCAGAGGCAGCATCCTGCTGGGACTTTGTTCTGTGGTAGCTGGTGTGGGGACAACAACTGGCTGGACTACAATGAACCCGAATCGATGAAAACCAATAATCAATAGTGTGGCTGTGAGGATTAGTTACCTGGATTCTGGGGTCCACCTCCTCGTCTTCATATTCGGTCTCCTCGTCCGACCTGTGCTCCTTCTCTACATGCTCCATGTTGGAGGTGAAGGAGGACAGATGTCACACCACCGAACAAAGACAGACGTTACTACCGGACACAGAGAGACCGCAGACGCATCTGTCTCAGCCGGTCACAACACGGTACACTCACGATATCCCCGCCTAAGTCCCCGAGCTTAATGTAGTTCAAATGTTTTAAAAGGAGGGGTTCTAGAAGAGGAACATCCTGGCTTGTATCCACCGTGGCCGAGCAGCTACGTCTCTCCCCGCTCGCCTCTCCCTCCACACTGCGCCCGGTGCTGAAATGACCGGAGCTCTGCTTCAGACCGGGAACGCCCCCTTCAGTAAAGCTGAGCAGTGTATGAGGGGTAATCAGTGCCACAATACTAAAGTCGAGATTCCATTTAAAAAATACATTTGAACCCATTTAGGTCACATTGTGCAACAACATATGTCCAAATAAATGACAACAAATTACATTTCTTTGTATTCTTATATCAAAAGCTAATTATTTTCTTCCAGTAAGACAACATGTGCTTAAGTAAGCTTAAAGCAATCATTTAAACCAATAATGATATCCATCCATCAATCGCTCTTCAATTTTAACACACTATAAATTGACATAAAGTCATTTCAAGTATAAAAGTATTCAGATAATCAGGAGATATTTCTCACATGTTCTTCTGCACAAGAAACAAATAAGTTACAGCAGTTGTTTCAGCTCTGCAGTGGCAGTGTATGAAAAATGTATATCATGCAGGAAATTAAACTGGTAGGCCTATATCGGTTCATCTGATATATCGGCCAGCATTACCTCACTAACTTTATCACTGATGAAACCGGATCATATTTTATGGAAAAAATATTTGCTGTTTTTTCCATCTGATGTCCTCTGGATGCTCTGCCTCATCTGCTGCTGCTGTTGTAGTTGTTGTTGGTGTGCAATGGAACCGGACTGAGACTGAACACAGACGGACAGACGGAGGCTTTGATATAAGATAAAGAAATTGACTTTTGTTGTTGTTGTTGTTGCTGTATTGTTTTTTGTTGTTGTTGTTGTTTGTTTTTTGGCAAACATTGTTAGAAAAGTGTACAATATGGCTGAGGTGTGATCTAAAAGGCTAACTAATTTTATCCTATATGGTATACACATATATGGTACCGCATCACATTTTCTCTACTCGAAGGTCACCTTAGAGGGCACTTTATCGTGTTTATCATGTTTAATTTACAGGCTTCCAAAAGGGCACTTTTGCTCCAGTTAGGTTGGCGCCAGATTTTTCTGATTATGCTCAGTTTTACGTAAGTAAAATTTTCAGAGCAGGACCTGTAACAGTCATGTAACACAGAGGATGAATTCCAATAACTTTGTTGATCCCCTGACTTTTTATTCAAAGTTCAACAAGTGATGTACATTTTGGAAGTTTTATTTAACCACTGTTATTTCAGTGAATTGTGTATCATATTAACATTTTTTGGCATCATTAATAAGTTTTACACTTTTACTTAAAATGGTCATTTTTATGAATATATTTCACAATAAATGTCTCAAGTTACTTTCCAGTGTTCTATATCCTGATAAATAATGTCACTCTCACTGTGTGATAGGTCCTGCCCTTTAAACTGATGGTAATGTTGTCCTGCGTATCTGTGTCAACATGTACTGTGACACACATCTTTTCTCTGACTCGATGACAGATAACATTTTTGTTATTTGCCCTCAATACTGCCGCCGCTGTTCTTAGAAGCACTGGTCAACGAAGCTGCACATAAAGATAATTTTATTAAGTTAGAACCTATACAGAGAAACCGCTCGTAATGTAATTATCCTGTAGGTTCGATATAAAGCTTCACATACTGCACACAGTTCTGCGCTTTGAAGTAACAGAGAGTTTTTATTTAGCGGCATGCTTGATGAGCTAAAGAATTTGATTAGTTTATGAGTGTGTGGTGCATTTTTCATCAAAACAAATTCAAATTTAGATCTTCATCTAGATGGCTTTTTATTGCCTCCTAATTTAAGCAGCAGCAAATGTTGTTAAGACAGTTTCCCAGAAGAATTTGTAGTTAGACAAAAGCTTGTCTGTTGGCCTCAAAATGCTTATAGATGTAGGACTTTGCTCTTTCTTTGAATAGCAGACCCTGTTGTTATATACCAAGCAGTTATAATTCCCATTCCCTCCCCTCTTTTTATACCCTGTGAACATATTTTTTATTTTTTTTTGTCAACAACATCCAAGCTAAAATGTTGCTATTGTGCAACTGTTCAGTAGAAAGTAGTTCCAATGAAAATGTCATAGTGGGTTATGAGGAATGAAGTTAACAGTATATGTATATGAGATTTAGAACATTAAACAGTAATGATAAAGTCCGGAGTGAGCGACAGCAATATGGTGGTGTTTATGCTTAAACAAAAAGGACCTTACTCTCTAACAAAAAGGCATATCTCTATAAGGATCCTCTCCATAATCTCAGACACATAGAATAACAATCTGAGCGTGTCACTGGCAAAATCAAGCACTTTTAGTGGCCCTACTGACCGGGATGTTTGTCCCCAGGGAACCCATTTTGAGCTATTTTATCAACTAACTGGTGATATAGATAAAGACTAACAAAGAAAAAGAAAAAATGCCTAGATATAGGCCTATTAAGTATATTTTTAAGATTTTCTTCCACCTGTTAAACTCAAGAAGGCCTTGGGACCCTGGAGAAGCTTTGGTGCCCCCTCGTAGGGATCCCGACCCCCTGGTTGGGAACCACTGCTTTTGTGCATCTTCTAGTCTGAAAGTCGTACAGCACCTTGGAACACAAACTCAAATGGAACACAAAACCTTCATATCACTCTCAAAATATTTCAGATATGTAGAAGGACAGAACGTTTCTGCAGAGATAGATGCACACTTTCTTTCGACATACTGGCATCACCCATTTAATCTTTTGTTTTCATTCCCCCTGTTCACCAGAGGAGAAAGTACTGAAAGCACCGAGATAAAAAAAGAGGCCTGAGGTGACGTTGCACAGGTTGCATAACTAACATAATGTGCCTGTTTACCTCAATGAGCAGCTGAGATAGAAACAATTTAGATACTTAGGACACTAAGGAAGAAAGAGACAACCAGGATTCACTGCAGCATAAAACATGGACACAAACACAACACAAACTACATATACAGAGCAAATAAAATAAAAAGTGCTATGCATCAAATAGAAACATGACACATCATAAAACTAAATTATTAATTAATTATTATTAAATCTAATTGTTATTTTCACCCCCAAAAAGTTCAATTATCTTGTTAAAAGCTTTGAAAGGACATCTAATAGTGTGACACTCTGGACCATTACATTTTGATTTTCAGAACACACCCTGCAGTGATTCAACACTCTCATTTCAGATATATAAATCTGCTTTGTCAGCATTGCATGCTGGGATTTCAGATTTAACAGGGCTACACAGCTAACATGGGAAAAAGCAGGTCAAACTGCTCTGTATAGAAACTAACAGGATCAACCAATCACATGTATACAACCCTCCATTCAGAGTCATTGCTCCCCTGTGGTAATATAGCTGTGAAAGGGTGGATTACACCTACTTAAAAAGCCTCTTCTAGTAACACTGAAGGTCAAGCTGTAGATATGCTGACATGTCACATTTTTAGAGACCTACTTTCCCCGCTCTCTGCAGGGCTGCAACCTGATACGCCTGCTGAAAAAGACCACCGACGCCCTGCAGACCCTGAAGGATATCCAGAGTCACGTCAGCATGTTCTGGGTCTCCTCGGGCTGATGGTGATTTGTCTGGATAACAGGATATGTCAATGTCATACGTCCTCTCACTGCTCCTAAACCTTGGTCACAACCCTGGCTTACTGGCCACTATGTGAGTGTAGGTGAGGGTGTCTGTCTATGGCTATTAGTTTACTGTCAACATGATATATTGCTACTCCAGACAGGAAGATCTGTCTTCAGAAAGTAAACTGGCATTATATTTGCTTTACTCTACTGGAAACAAAATGAAGACTTGCATAACCTTTTATTTTCAAATATATGAATAAAAAGTATAATGGATTGGTATGACACAATTCAGATTGCAGTTCATGAATACTTTTCCCTTTGTGATTTACTACCACACTGTGTGGTAGACTGAGCTGCACATTAAGTTTTGCGTTTCACATTTTTCTTTGTTCTGAATAAAGGTCAACTGAGGATTGCACCAAAAATGTGTCACTTGTACTAGTTTTAATTGAAGTAACTGGAAGATGGACTCAAGTGTTAGGATTTATTGGCAGAAATGGAATATAATATTCCGAACTATGTTTTTTAGTGTATAACCACCTGGACATAGGAACCGCCGCAGGTTGCCTTCCATGAAGTCGGACATGCTGGACTGCCGTGTTTCTACATTAGGGACAAACAAAACACCAGCACCAGATAGGGACCGCCACGTTTTTAATGCATAATTTCTCCTTCACGCTTGGGAGGGGAGGGTGAAGCGAGGGAGTTGTGATCTGCAACTACGCTATTAGATGCCACTAAATTGCCACACTGGACCATTATTCAATGTGCGAATTAATGTTACAATATTAAGTGAAAATACTGGGTATAGATAAAAACTTGACAAAATAAAAAAGGGAAAACATTTTACATGTATATCCCTGAATAAGACACATAGATGCAAATTTCCAAATATCTGAAATATTCCAGCCCTCATGTGGACTTGCCAGGACAGGACCTTGTCAGCAGATTCCTGATATCCACTGAGAACATGGAGGTTTTGTTCTGATAAAGGACACATTTTCACTGAAGACGTTGCCTGTGTTGCCTCTGAACCTTGCGCCTGTACCTGGCACTCCCTCCACTATCTCCACAGTAGATTCATTTAGTCACTGATGTCTGCCTTGTAACATTTGCGATCTAAGAAATGAAACTATTACTCCTGCTCGTGTCCTCATTGTGAATAACTTTGGATAAGAGTGTCAGCTAAATGGCTAAACCTGCGAATGTAACTCAGTGTGGACCGCTAACAATGTGTTGTTGTAGCAGTCAGACAGTGGTCAGATTGTAGCTGTTTAAATTCATTTAAGATCGCTCTCCTGAGGCACTCGTTGTGGGTGGATAAGAGTGTCAGCTAAATGCCTGGATAGTTGCGGAAAGGTGCCAAATTTGATAGTAGAGGAGGAAATACACAGAGAATTCTCTCAGTTAGGATTCCTTCAGTGTTCTTCATTCAGGAGGTTTCTACTATCCACAGAGGTCTTCTCCTCTCCAAAATAAACAGACCCGCTGATTAAAACCAGTACAAACAGTGAATAAAGCAGTTCCACCTTAAAAATATGTGTTTCTTTAATGCTGTTCAGTAAAGGATGTCCCAGATATTAAGAGTTAAAAAAGTGGATGGTAAAAATGTGGCCTAAAACTGGATAAACAGTCAATGTATCACAGCTTCTGGCAGACAACCACAACGCTGATGCATGCACAAAGGGGATATGACGCCACTGACAGGAGACCGGTGAAATGCAGCGTTACCTGAATAAAATGATACATTTCTCTAATTTTGAACATTATTGAAAATATTTGGTATAATGTAAGAACACAGCTCAACTACATATAGACCATAGCTCTAGAGTTTATAGACATTTTAATGCGGAAAAACATATTATATCTTTAAGTCAGGTGACTAAAACTACTTGGTTAATGCGGGTGATATTCCACATATTTCTTCTTGTCATAAAAAGGCCCACACAGCGACTACTGTGCTACTAACAAGTAGTGTCTGTTTTATATTCATTATATATGCATATGCATCCAAAACATGATGTATCTTATTCCACTGTGCCAAAAACCTTTACACATGGCTCACCTTCATTACCATGAACACACATTATTTAGACTCAATCCTACATACATCGTTCTGATGTCCCAAATACTCACATGTGTAAAAATCCACAGCTGGAAATAGTTCCAACAAATGCACTATTTACTCCAGTAAATAATGTAAATACAGTGCCCATGTATTAAAAAATGAAACTATATATTTGTGAGCTGTTTATAAAGATTTATATCTTCATTAGGAACCAATAGGGTTGGGACTGGGTGCCACAGACAGGGTAGGGAACTAATACATAGTTGGGTCTGGAGTGTTCATGGGATTTGTCATCAAGAAAAATAAAGAATAACAACCTTATCCTTCCTGTGCATGATGTTATATAACAGCATGGAGGCAGAGATGCAGTACATGGTGAAGACCTTGATGCAAGGCTGGCCACCTGACCTTTCCGTCCCTGTGTCTTTAACTTCCTTTCTGCTTCCTGACGACAGGATGAGGAACTGGGATGTGCTGTTCTTTTCAGGGACAGCTCACGAACAGCAGCTCAGGATGCAACAGTGCTCAGAACATCTATATTCCACATTTCAGTCCTTTAGCTAAACCTATCCTATCCTGTTATTGACATAAAGTGTTCAGACATGGCAGGCCCCGACGGTGTATTTCCCAGGGTGCTTAAAGCCTGTGCCCCCCAGCTGTGTGGAGTACTCAGTCATGTCTTCAGCCTGAGCCTGCACCTCCAGAGGGTCCTTGTGTGTGGAAGACGTCCTGCCTCGTTCCTGTGCCAAAGACGCCGCGTCCCAGCCGGCCCTCAGGACTACAGACCGGTGGCTCTCCACATTATGAAGACCCTGGAGAGGCTAGTCCTGGAGCAGCTAACTACCAGCCCCACCTGGGAGTTGAGGACGGCATCATCTACCTGCTGAACAGAGTCTACACTCATCTGGATAAGCTGGCGAGCACTGTGAGAGACATGTTCTTTGACTTCTCCAGTGCTTTCAACACCATCCGTCCGGCTCTACTGGGTGAGAAGATGGCTGCGATGCAGGTGGAGGCCCCCGTTGTGTCCTGGATTGTTGATTACCTGATGCGCAGACCACAGTACGTACGCCTACAGAACTGTGTGTCTGACAGGGTGGTCAGCAACACTGGGGCCCCACAGGGGACTGTCCTCTCTCCCTTCCTCTTCACCCTCTTCACCTCAGTCTTCAACTACTGCCACCTTCAGAAGTTTTCTGATGACTCAGCAATAGTTTGTTGTATTGAAAAGGGTGATGAGAGTGAATACAGGACTGTGGTGGGCAACTTTGTCACTTGGACTGAGCTGAATCATCTGCAGCTCAACGTGACAAAGACGAAGGAGCTCATAGTAGATCTGAGGAGGGCAAATACACCTGTGACCCCTGTAGAGGAGTATAAGTATCTGGGGGTGTACTTTATGATAAGTTGGACTGGACCAGAAACACAGAGGCGGTCTACAAGAAGGGCCAAAGCTGACTCTTTTTCTTGAGGAGGTCCTTTAACATCTGCCGGATGATGCTGAGGATGTTTTATGAGTCTGTTGTGGCCAGTGTGATCTTCTTCGCTGTCACATGCTGGGGCAGTGGGCTGAAGGTCGCTGATACCAACAGACTAAATAAACTGATCAAGAGGGCCGGTGATGTCGTGGGGGAGGAGCTGGACACTCTGACGACCGTGGCAGAGACGAGGATGCTGTCCAGGCTTCAGTCTATCTTTGACAATGTCGCACACCCTCTCTACGACACACTGGCCCAGCAGAGGAGCACCTTCAGCAGAAGACTCCTCTCACCCAGATGCACCACAGAGCGCCACAGCAAATCATTCCTGCCTGTGGTCATCAAACTCTATAACGCCTCCCTCAGAGAGTCAGACACCCCCCCTCTGTAATCTGACCTCAAACACGGACAATAATGTTTGCACTTTTTGCACATTTTAAACTGTACATTTTACCTTTTATATATATTTATATATATGTTCTTAATATATTAGATGTTGTATGTATATCTGGGGTTTGTAACGAAAGTAATTTCCCCCTGGGATTAATAAAGTATTTCTGATTCTGATTCTGATGGTTGCTGCTCTCTTTAGATGCTTCAAAATATTAAAACACCACCCTCTAGTGGTTACCAGTAATTGGCACAACTCATTACTTGCACAAAGTCCTCCAAGATTTAAGGGTTTAATTATATTTTATTGACATTTTCAATGCATTTTGGGGATTAATCAATTTCATGAATAAAATACATTCAAAACCACAGTATAGTTTGAGAATAAACTGAACATACTGAATTGGAATTCTGCAATTCAGTGGTATTGGCTTCAGAAGCACAAAAGGTAAATATTAACAGGCAACCTGCGGCTCTGGAGCCACATGCGACTGTTAAGCTCCTCTTCAGTGGCTCAAAAACATTTTCCTTTTCATTTATCATTTTTTACATTCTCCATTTATAAAAACGTTTAACTATTACACAGTGAATGAAAAAAAAAGTTTTAACATTTCAGCTACTAAAATGTGACATATGTTCTAACACAGGTGAAATCCAGAATTATGGACCCTGTACATAGGCAGTATCTTTGTGGGCCCTCCTCACATGATGGCCTTGTATATTCAGTCCCCCTTTTCACCCCTGAGTCCTGACCTGACGCCTTTTTCCAATATATTTTGCTGAACCTTAATAGCAAGCCGGTAGGTGCATTAAAATAAAGAAGTCATAGAAAATATGATAGAAAAGTAAAATCAACAATTACAACTAATAAAAGGTACATATACATTACACACATTACATATATTCGTTTGTGTGTATGATAGAGGAGAGACTGAGTGCAGATGTGTTTGTTGTGTGAGTCTTATTGAAGGAAGTTGGTGTGCAGCTCCTTCTCACACATCCAGTGGTGGTGGTTTTCACACGAGTCCTGGAACAGGTTATTCAATGGCTGTTGACAGTGTTTAACATATGCACAAGCACAATAGTTGCAATACTGGCAATTGTTCCCAAAAGGTAGCGGACGATTCCTGTCATTAGAAAACAACACAAACTAAGGTTAGTGGATTTGGTGAGTGTGGAACAGTGCAAGACGGTTATGGGTTGACTATGTATTCAAGTCAAAAATAAACATTCCTTGTAGCATTTACTCTGCTAGAAATTCATTATAAGACTTTTGCTGAACGTTCCTTCCTTCTTATAGACTCCAAAAGTCTTCCAAATTTAGATTTGATGGTGCACTGTAAATTGTGTCGGCCTTGTCGGACATGTTTGTTTATGTACCGACCTCGCAAGCCACTCTGCGCTAATAGTACTCTCACTACTCTATAGATGTACTTGCATTTATAACATTAAAACCGAAGTCTGTATTGGTAAATCTTTAAAACCCTAACTGAAAGTCATCCCAATGATATTGCTAGCTACTGTCGTTGTGGTTATAGTTGTGATGTGGACAGCCTTTTAGTCAATATCATCATTTTATTCATAAATACTTAAAACATTTTTTACCACATTGGTTTTCCATCCACCCATGTCCACGTCCACAACTGCGCATCTTGTTGACCTCTCAGGCCTATCCACATGCTGACATGACCTCCAAAAACACGGACAACATCCTAATGGGAAGGAAGTGTAGTAGAAATACGTTATCCAATGTGGTTAGTGGGTCAACCAGGTAAATTGCCTGCAGGGTAATACAGTATATTAGATTTATATAAGACAAATCACAAATACCTCTTCAAATTTATCATTGAAAATCACCAAATGAGCTCTTTTGCTCACACAGTCTTGTTTGGCATTATGCCAGGTGCTTATGCCAGAGGAAAGCTGGTAACAGGAGTTCATGTATCTCCACCATCCCTGGGGACAGCTTGGGACATTTTGCGCTGCTCAGGAATAAACACAGGACAGGACAAATCAGGACAAGATAAAAACGTATTCAGTGCATAATGATCATAAAAAATAATCCTGATGAAAAGCATTAGGGTACCCTCCCCAAAAACTGTTGTGCTTCAAAGCCTGAAAATTTAGATGGCTGTAAAAGATCACAGTTTCTCTGAAAAATACATGAAACAGCCATGCAAGCCACAGTGGTGCTTTGAGCTAAATGCTAACGTTGACGTGCAATGACAATTCTAACATGCTGATGATCAGCAGGTCTATTGTTAACCACATTGTCCATCTTAGAGAACATGGTAAACATGTTCATTAGCACGCTACCCTTCGCTAATACGGTAAGCACGAAACACAAAGTAAAGCTGAGGCTGATGGGAATGGACCACTAAAGTCAGAGGGACTCGTCCTCAGATCTGTGTTATATGTTCATCTTTTGTATGATTTATAAACTCCATAAAATGGTCATGGGCCACATCTCTTGCCTACGTCCAGACATTGTCTCACTCCTGCTTGCAATTCTGTGTAGTTGTAGCTGCTATGACAAACAGTATATTAATGTTCAGGTATGCTGTTTGTCAGTCTAAAATTGATGTAAAAAAAAAAAGAAACTTACTCACCCATGTCTATTTTTTTCTGAAGGTCACTGACCCTCTCATTTAACCTCTTATTAAGTTCAATCAGGTGACTGTTATAATCTTGCAGTCGACTGTTCACTTGGAGCAGTTGATTTTTCTCTTGATTCAATTGATCTTTCTCTTGGAGCAGTTGATTTTTCTCTTGATTGATTTTGTCTTTCTCTTGGAGCAACTGATCTTTCTCTTGATTCAATTTATTTCTGTCTTGTTTCAGTTTGTTATTCTCTTGGAGCAACTGATCTTTCTCTTGGATTCAATTTATTTTTTTCTTGCCGTTTGTCATTCTCTTGTAGCAGTTGATTTTTCTCTTGATTCATTCATCCTTGGAGCAATTGATGTTTATCTAGATTCAGTTGATTTTTCTCTTGATTCAATTGATCTTTCTCTTGGAGCAGTTGATTTTTCTCTTGCTTCAGTTTTACTTTCTCTTGATTCAGTTGATCTTTATCTTGATTCAGTTGATTTTTCTCTTGATTCACTTTGTCTTTCTCTTGATTCAATTTATTTCTGTCTTGTTTCAGTTTGTTATTCTCTTGGAGCAACTGATCTTTCTCTTGGAACAGTTTATCTTTCTCTTGATTCAATTTATTTTTCTCTTGATTCCGTTTGTCATTCTCTTGGAGCAATTGATGTTTATCTTGATTCAGTTGATTTTTCTCTTGATTCAATTGATCTTTCTCTTGGAGCAGTTGATTTTTCTCTTGATTGATTTTGTCTTTCTCTTGGAGCAACTGATCTTTCTCTTGATTCAATTTATTTGTGTCTTGTTTCAGTTTGCCATTCTCTTGGAGCAATTGATTTTTCTCTTGATTCAATTGATTTTTCTCTTGATTAAGTTTGTCTTTATCTTGATTCAATTTATTTCTGTCTTGTTTCAGTTTGTTATTCTCTTGGCGCAACTGATCTTTCTCTTGTAGCAGTTGATTTTTCTCTTGATTCACTTTGTCTTTCTCTTGGAGCAACTGGTCTTTCTCTTGGATCAGTTGATTCTTCTCTTGATCCAGTTTGTCTTTCTCTTGATTCAATAGATTTTTCTCTTGATTCAGTTTGTTATTCTCTTGGAGCAACTGATCTTTCTCTTGGAGCAGTTGATTTTTCTGTTGATTCAGTTTGTCTTTCTCTTGATTCAGTTGATTTTTCTCTTGATTTAATTTATTTTTGGCTTGTTTCAGTTTGTCTTTCTTTAGATTCAATTTATTTCTGTCTTGTTTCAGTTTGTTATTCTCTTGGAGCAACTGATCTTTCTCTTGGAGCAGTTGATCTTTCTCTTGATTCAGTTTATTTTTCTCTTGATTCCATTTGTCATTCTCTTGGAGCAGCTGATTTTTCTCTTGATTCAGTTTGTTATTCTCTTGGAGCAGTTGATTTTTCTCTTGATTCAGTTTGTCTTTCTTTCCATTCAGTCTGTCATTTTCTTTGAGCAGTCGATCTCGCTCTAAAACCAGGTCTCTGTTGTCATCAGCTGACATGATGGTGAAATTGGTAGTCGAGTTGTTGTTGAACCCGTTGGTACACCCAGCTACAAGGAAAGGAAACAGATAAGAAGGTTGTGGTTTCTTATGTTTCACACTTGAATGAGTAGTTCAGTGTTTTGGGACCTATTTTCTTGAGTCTTGAGTTAGACCAGAAGATCAATACCCTTCTTATGTGTGTTGTGAGTATTGAACTACAGCCAGAAGATGATTAGCTTAGCTTTGCATCGAGACTGGAAGCAGACCAATGGAAGTAGCCTTGCTAGTACTACCACTAATGACCTAATCTGTTAGCTAACCACCACTGGCTGTGCAAGCCATTACAATGTTATCTACAGTAATGCTAATAAGATTTTTATATTTATTTTAAAAATATTACAAGTGACACATTTCGGCAGAAAATTTAATTTGTGGTCCTCCGCTTTTTAAGATTTCTTCAGTATCAAAGTAATTCAGTGATAGTTATCAGTACATCCAATGGTACACAGCAAAGAATCAACTGTTAATAGTTAATTTGGTAAACTTAATTTTCCTTTTCACTTTTAACATGACATTTTCCAAAATACTCAAGCTCATATTCATACATTAAATCAAGCCCAAGTGTATTAGCTGCAAAGTTACACTATCAAGTGCAACACACAACGAGATCAGAGCCCAGCTCCCTGGGCACACAAATCGGACAAAATATCCAAAATATCAAAATCAAACTTGGTCCTTGGCCCTTTTTTTCCATTACCTATCCTTGACTTTTGGATTCAGTGCTGAACATAAAAAAGAACAAATGATACACAATGTTTTTATCCAATTCGTGTGTTTGTTTATGAGGTGTGATGTGGAAGGTCGGGGTTGATACTCACCGGCTTGTTGCTTAAGTAAAATACTGACAGCGCATTGAATAATGACCAGCAGGCCAAGGATGATTCCAACCAACCGTAAGACTTTGGGACCTACAGGTAAACACATGCATACCACCCATCATAATTCTATTATCAAAACTAGGGTTAAAAATTAAAAAATAGGTTTTATTAAGCAGCTTAGTTTAAGCCCCTTCAATTTTCAGTCACCTCAAATATCCAAATTTATAATCATATTTATTGCTTTATATTATATTGATATTATTATTCTTTGTGTATATCTACTGTGCATATTTTAGCACTTTTCTTTAGCATGACAGAAACAGGAAAAGCTTCTAAAGAAAGTACGGGGATTAACATACAGAAGTAAAAAAAAAATCTTTAAAGAAAACATTTTATGATTGAAGATATTCAGACCTGAAAGACATTTTTCCCTGTGCTCCTCTCTATTGCTCGTTTCATCAGGTGGATGGTGTCTTATATCCATTCTTCTTACAGTGATAGTCTGGAACTGAAGTTGCCAACCGACCACAACTGCCTCTCTGGTTTTTGTGTGGGGATGTAAGGTCATCATTACCTATTTATGTCAACTGATCATGACACAATGCAACAATGACAACATTGACCACAGTGGACAAAAAAGGTGTTAATGCAAAATACATACAGTGTTGACAAACTAATACAGTCCTATGGTATATTTCACCATAAAAAGATGAACTATTATTAACTCCTCTGCCAAATTGACACTTTTCACTTGCATTGAACAACAGCAGATGTAACGTAAGTGTTTTCACCTAAAGAATTTAACTTTACTCTTTTGTCTGTTAGCGTGCTACAGCTCTTTCTCTGGGAAAAAAAAGTAGAGGAAGTCATGTTATTTAGGTGGCTGGTTTATTGGTAACAAACAGAATAAGAAAGAAGAACTTGCTGTTCAGCATCAGTGGGATCACTTATAGAAAGTCCTAAAGAATAGTACAGTATAGTACCGCAGCAGTACCTCCCATGCTGAATGACAAGTGATCACAGATCTAATCTTAGCCACCACTAACTGTTGGTGCCAATGCAAAGGCGTTACGAATACAGTTCCTTAAATGGCCATTATGATAAAAAAAAACTCACTTAAATATGGACACAGGCACGCAATTGTTATTTTTAAGTTCTTTACGATAGACTAATTTGTTCTCTCACATTATCTAGCTGCACAACAGCAGGAAGAAACAATTAAAGGTTGTTAGTAGTAAGTAAGTAATGCTCTCATATTAACATTGTTAACTTATCCAATGCAGTACACTGGTTTTAAGTGAAATTTCTTTTCTTTATTGGATGGCTCACCATCACATTCATTCATTCAAAATTCATGTCTCCTTATGGAAGAATGAAGAAAGAACTGTAGTGACTTTTATCTAGGTCAAAATGTAAATTTCCAAAATGCTTCCTGCATACATTCTGTTGGGATCCAAGGATACCTTTAAATATGAACTTGTTCATTTGAAGTGTTTAACTGGACCAAAAAGGGATGTTGGGCCTGACCACGTGCTCAAACAAAGGAACTGTCCTGGGGCCTTGTTGGAAGTCTAAAAGCCTGTTGCAATGCAGCCAAGGTGTGGTTTAAAAGCCATAAAACGCCCAAACACCAGCCTTTCATTGGTCAAGATTCCCTCTGAGCCCAGACCTGTCATCAAGGTTATTTCAGCCAGAGAGATGCTCTTCCCGCTCTCCTCTCTTCTCCCTTCAATTCGCTCACACCCACACCTTGTGATAAGTTTCAGACCTCGGTGCAGCCTGCCCCGCCGACTACGCACGACTAAAGATTATAGCACAGCACAAAAGCCTGCTTTTTACTGCGATACCTGCACCAGCGGACATCGCACAGCAGAGACTGTTTGGACTTCAGAACCACAATTCTGATCAGCCTGGCTCACAGGACCGCCGGCTGACACCCGTAGCTCACCCGCAACTCTTTTTCATCTCCATTGGACATTTGGTAACGTACTGGGCATAGACAGACAACAGTTAACGGCTAAACAAGGACTGTTTAAGTATTGTTAATGTTGCTGATGTGTTTTATTCAGGTCACTGTGGTATTGTGATGTTGATTTGATTAACTGAGGTTACTGTAGTAACTGTAGTCTCTGAGACAGTGCTAAGGTGATGTTAGTTTAATGCTTCACACAGATATCGTCTTTGCATACACTTACTCCATTTTTAAAGGCACCGTTAATCTAAGATCACACACATACATATTCGGTGTAACCCTTATCACACACACGTGGAGAGGGATTCAAAACCTCCCGCCTCTCTATTGCCTAAACCTTTTACGACCCCCATGCATGCATGCACGCACGCACGCACGCACGCACACACACACACACACACACACACACATACACTCCTTTTTCCTCTAGCTTTGTTCCTTTAAGTTAGATTGTATGTTTTGTATTCTCCTCTGTTTGCTTTTATTATGTCTGGTTGATAAATGTTTGTGAGTAATACCAACCTCTTCTATGTAACTCCAAAAGCTCTGGTTTGTAATTATTAATTTAATTATTAATCTGACTTCTGAATTAATAGTTTAGTGTAATTTTTATGAGACTGATCAATCGATTATTGGTTATCATTCCCTTATTTAGGGGGGTGCCCCGAGGATCTTTAATATTAATTAAAGTCATTTTCTATTATCTTTTGATAATTATAATTTTTGATAACCATTAATTGATTAAACTAATACAGCTAGACCACTCTTACACCCTACGTCGTAGAGCCCGACAATTCCCATAAGTCTCGGCTGTAATTTAGTGCTTGTGTTTAGTGCTAATTAGCAAATGTTAAAATGCTAAATTAAGGTGGTGAACATTGTACCTGCTATGTTTAGCATTGTCACTGATTGTGTTAGACAACAGCATCTTTTAATGGACTGTTACAGAGCTTGGGAAGTCTGGGACGGATTGAAGGAGTTTGGACTAAACCATGATCCCTGTTGGAAGTCTGTGATGTTTGGAATCATTGACAGAAACAATAATCTGACCACATTGAACTGCTACAACTCATAATAAGCATTGTTTGTTTTAAACGGTGGAAAACAAGATCTGTCATGGTCATATATCAGACTATTATAGACAGTAAGTAAACTAAACAAATAATCACTGAACTCCGGAGGACGAAAGCCCTGGACAAAAGTCAGCGCCTCCCATGAGACATTCTGGACTTTTAATACAGCAATTTATAGACATTGAACTCCTCTGGACTCTCTGACTGTATACACTTTATACATGTTTACTGATGCACTTACAACAAAAATGGTAATGTAATGTTTTATGATATATAATTTGTAATGAGTCAAATTTAATAAAGTTGATTAAAAAAAAGCAAGGGAGTTGTAATCTGCAACTATGCTGTTAGATGCCACTAACATCCTACACACTGGGCTTTTATATATCTGTTTCTTGGTCCTCATAGAACTGACTCACAGACACACTGAACAGGCTGAACATTCTCCATAAGGGGAACTGTTTGCGTTCGTCATTACTAAAGAGATTGCAAAGAAACAAGATGTTAGCTGTCACATTACCCACAGAAAGTGACATCATGGCTGAAAATAAACAGAAGAAAAAGAAAAAAGGAAGAAGTAGTTCACACTCCCTAACACATCAGTTACATTTTGCATCAGCTTCATGATGCGGTGACTAAAAGTTGTATGTTGAGATCTGCATTTCTACTTGGGATACTTGCTGTAAATATAAAGGATTTTCAAAACTGTATTTCATCAGATATTAATTTAATGGTAGCTTATTCTTAATATAGCATAACACACATATGCACACTCTACCTCTCCACACTTCCCTTGACGATTTCACATCCTGCATTAAAAGTATTTAAAGCCCTTTCTCTTGTTTGTTGAAATTTTATTTTTAACCATACTTCTTCTTTGTCTGTTATTTTTAAAAAACCTTTCTCCCCTTTTGTTCTTATCTTGTGGTCCAAGTTTTTTTTTCTTATGTTTTATCATTGAACCTCAGTCTTATTCTTTTTTTTAAATGTCTTTAATGTCCCCAAGGAGCAATTTGGTTCACAACAGGTAGCCAACACATACATGTTTGCACAAAAGCACATAAAAACATGAAATGATAAATAAATAAAAACATAAATACACATGTACATTTTTTTTTTTTTTTTTTTTTTTTTTTTTATTAAAAAAAAATTTTAAAAAGGCCCACTCTGGCCCACTGCAATTAAATGTGTATATATCCATGAATTAAATTATTTGGGTTATTGTCCTTTTACAGAGAATTAAATACTCCAGCAATCAACATCACAGATTGAGGATTTTTTTTTCTTGTTTTTGTGCTAAATACAACTTTAAACAGTCAAACCTAACAACATGGTGTGGAGTGTTACTCAGGTTTGATGGAGTTGGTGTATCACTTCAGCTCCTTCTCACACATCCAGTAGTGTTGACTGTTACAGGTATCAGAGGCCCAGTACACAAACTGGTTGTTTGCAGAATAGGCGCAGGGAAAATGTTGAGCATCTGGTAGGTGGTGGTAGCTGGTAGGACTACAAAACATTTCACATAATCAATATCATCAATAATCTACATCAAATGTAACAATTTATGTGTTCAACTGGCATTATTATGAATTAAAAACTTAAACTTGATGATTTTAGTTTGGGTGAATTTGGCACCTTGCTGCTAATGTACTCTGCTGGATGCGTAAACAGGTTTGCTAATGTGTTTGACTTGTTAAAGAAATCGTTAAAAGCCATCTGCCGCAGTCAGGTTAGCTGGACCATATACCAAATAAAGCACTTGATGTGCTGCCTTATAGATCGCTGGAGCATCGAACAGACAGAACATTTAGTGCAGTATTTGTAAAGTTGTTTATAATAATAGAAATATTAATACATTTTATTTATAGAGATTTTTTTCTATAGAGATATATATACAAAATTGGGCCAATTGCATTTACACACTGTCACTTGACTTCTGCTGCTTGAGTATGGATCCTAAGGAGCAGATTTTGCATCAGTACTGGCCCACAGATGGGTGAGAAAACTAATTGTGCATTTTGAGTGAACTATTCCTTATTTCTTACTCCATCCACTCATGAAAATTGGACGACTATGTCATGCCTTCACCATTCTAGGAAAATTAAAATCGGCTTACAGAACATTACTGAATGATGCTCATCAGTGAGGATTTAGAAGTGGGTATACCCAATGTTGACTGAGAAATAAGTGGATATACTCAGTATACCTGCATATACCCTGCCCTTACACAACGTTCTCCTACCTAAAGAAAAAGAGAGCATCTCAAACCATTGTCTCTGTAACCCTGGATTGCACCTTAGGAAACATTCAAAAAGCCTTAGGGATAAGTGTACCTGGTTCCATCCACCCATGTCCATGTCCATTTTTGATGCCTTTTTTTAGCCTTCAAGCCGATCCATACGTCAGACCTTCCCTTAGTAATGAGAACGCACTGTGGGGAGGGATTTGTGATTTTTATATGCTTTAACAAAAAGTGTTCTAAAAGATAAGAATGTGTTTATCATTGCAGTGAAACTACAACAAGTAAAAGTAGCTGAATGGATGCAGGAAAATGTAATAGAAATCATAAATACCTCTTCATTATCATCATTTAAAATCACCAGATGAGCTCCTTTTGCCTCACAGTCTTTTTTGGCTTGCCACCAGGTCATTTTCACAGGAGACAGCCAATAACAGCTGGACGTGTACTGGTACCATTCCTGGGGACAGCTTTGGAGGTTTGTTACTTCTGGTCGGAAACAGGACAGGACAAACAGAAACAAGACAGAAGATAAGACGAGGCGGGACAAGAAAGAAACAACATGAGAAGAAAGGGCAGGAAAAAAATCCAGCTCTGAAAAAAAATATGAACTACTTAACATTTAGAAAAAAACCCTCACCTGTTTCAGAAAGCCTTTCTTTCAGCAATTCCTTTATGTAATTTTCATATTCTCTGAGCTTGTCATTTAACACATCATTCTCTCTGGCCTGGTTGTTGTTATCGACCTGTAACTCTCTGTTTTCCTTTTCTAGTTGGTCTTTCTCTCGAAGCAGGGCTGACATCATTGTGATATTTGTAGAGCAGATGAGGTCAGAGTTGTTACAAAACCCAACTAGGAAAAAAAAAGAAGTTCCTCCTTTTGGGTCAAAATGGGAAACGTAAGAAAAATCAGCAGTAAGAGAAAAAGACAAGGTAATCAATTCAAGTCTAAATCGAGTCCAACTACAAACATTTCTTGTAGTCAGTGTTTTAAATGGGTTTTCATTTGCTGTGTGCCTTTAGTTTATGCAATCTGCAATACTCTGCTGCTTTATTTGGCCTTTGCTCTGCGATGTGGAAGGTGCAGGCTGATACTCACTTCCTTGGAGCCGGAGAGAAACATTGAGCGCTGACTGTACGATGCACAGCAGGCCGAAGCTGACTCCAACAACCAAGAAGACTTTGGACCATCCTACAGGACAACACACACATACAGCATCTGCATGGTTGTATTACATCCTATAACTACTAATAGTTCAATGGAGAGCCTGTCCTGTAACCACTGTTCGACAAGTTCGATATATGGACACTGATACAGCCTCATTTGTAAGCTAAGGACTCTCCAGAGCTCTAAATAGGTTAAATTTACTAATTTTATAGAAACGTATTTCAAAGTGCTTCAAGAAATGAATCCAATGAATCCAATGAACACACATAACTAAATAAAAACATTGTTCAAACCTGATTGGCAATTTTCTCTTTTCTCCGAACTATTCCTCCCTTCTTCAGCTGTTGCATTGACGTAGTCTGCCATGTCTATTCTTTTGACAGTGACCCTGTTGAACCATCTGTTAGAGATAGTGATGTGCTGTCCTACTGTGTGTATTGTATTTCTAGTCACCAGCTGCCTTTTCTGGTGTGGGTGTGTGTATATTTCATCATTGTCCATCTGTGGCTAATGATTTCACAATGACTGTTGTGTCAGAAAAAACACAGATAAAACAGCGATTGTCAATGTTGTGGCAACAACGTTTTGGGAGAATCAATTGGCTGAAATGGAATAAAATATTGTTTTCAATAGTGTTTTATCACCTGAAAATAAGAATCTTTGTGATTTTGTTACCTGAATACAGAAGCCCTAAAGGGCCATGTATTCATACATTTTATTTCCTCCGTTTTCCCGTGATAACCAGTTAATTTTCTCGAGATCTCAAGATAACGAAACTCTGTTTTCACAAGATAACAATATAATTAATTTGAGATCTCGAGATAAAGACTGTGATATCCTTGGTCCAATCAGCCGCGCTTAAATTTACAGCGTATTAACTTCCGGTTTTCAAAATAAAGGTATTAAGAACAGTAAGCTATAATTCGAACCTACATTTAAAATAAAATATGTTACATGAAAGTGTTTCATGCACCCATGATGAATAAAAAACATACTTAATATCAAGCATTTCTACTGCACCAATGTGAAGAAATGCCAAAACAAAAGCAGGTAAGCAGGTACAAATATGGTATTTTATTGTTGAATTTCTCCAAATTGGTGCAGTAAAAATGCTGTCAGTGATTCAATCTGATCCAAACATTCAGTGTCTGTGGGCTTTCCCAGACAGAACACACAGGAAGCAATGACTTGCATGTTTCCTGTCTAACATGATCAGTCACTGATAATTCCACGAAAAAGATGACGGCTTATTGTTGAAGGCGGTGCAAAGGTGTTACAGATGAAGTTGCTCAAAATGCCCCAAAACAGTGAACAAGCTACAAGCCCATTCAGATATTTTTCTTAGAAAATGGTCGACTCTGTTTTTCAGAGTAAAGAGTCATTTTGTTGAGGATTGTCCCTCCTTTACTTAGCAAATGTGTTACTTACTTACAGGACAGGCTGGCAGATGATTCTGTTAGATAAGTTAAAAGTTTAAGTAAAGTTCTGTCATAAAAACATTGTCAAAAAAATGTAGCACGATCATAACAGTCACATCCCATTCTAGTACATTGTTAGCCCGGTAGCATAGCCAAGGAGTCTTCATTAGCCTGTTGGTGAATTAATTAATAAGCAGATGATTTTTTTATTGTTTTACGTTGTATAACATATTGTGTGCAGGGATTTTTTTGTCTGTGATTGGCTTGGCTGCATATATCTGCGTACAGAGTTTAGTCATAAATCTATGAGTGAATATGAGTGAATATTTGCCATTAAAAGAATACAGAATACAATTCCAGTGCAATTCTCATGTTGCTGAATCTGAAATTAGCCAGTTTTTTGCTTAGTAATAAATAAGCATTGTGTTTCTGTTACGGTTCTTTTGGAATTGTTCTGCCGCAGTGATAAAACAACTAAAAGCAACACTTAATAAATAAAAGGTCTATGTTATGGTCATTTTTGTGTTGCTTTAAAGGTTTCACCTCTTTACCTACACTTTTTTATTTTCTGGCTATTGTATGGCAAAAATTGCAGCAATCTTCAAAAATGCCCTTCAAAAACCACAGGGTGGCGACAAATGTTTAAACTCATGTTTAATCTGAGGTCACTGTATTAGAAATAATCATGTTTAACTGCTCTGACAATAATGGACAATAATCACAAGCTCAAATTGTGCAGTAAAGCTTTGTGCAAACCCAAACAACTTTATTTTACAGTCAAGATCGAGCAGATATCAAATAAGGCACCATTAATGGAAAACAGCTACAAAATGATGCAAAAGACATCTAAAATATATATAGTGAATTGATGTAAAGGTGCAGCAGTCTCAGGTTTATATATATTATCATATACTTTTTCTAATTTCTAAAGATAAATATAAACTTCAGGAAAATCTAGGGGGAAAATCAGGGTCCAAGTGCTGATACCCCAAATTCCCCTGATGAAAACTGTTCAGTGAAGCAATCAAGGCAAAAATATTTTATTGTTCAATGTGTTTAGGTGGTGTGCAAAACAAAACTCAACAATGGGAAAGATATCTATCTAAGTTTCTAGTGGTCAGAGGTAATGGAAACACTGGTGTATAACTGAGCACAGAGATACGTATCCTCCACCCACACGGCAGCAGACACACATCATGCAGATCGTGCACCTCAGTGAAGTATACTTTCAGTTTGCCTCTGCAATTTTGAACTCATGCTGTGGTCCTCGTGTTTATCTTTAATATAACCTTCCAGTGTAAGTGTTGGAGAATGACTTGGCTTACTCTACCTACAGTGCTGTTGTTGGTGAATTTGTGTGTGTCGTCTGCCCAGGATGGAGGTTAGTGAACAACTTTCTTTCTTGGTTTTCTTGATACAAGATACTGTCATTGCTGGGAGAACGTCTCATGGGGTATTAATAGAAGACACAAGTAACACTTTAGTCCTCATTATAGAGTAGAGTTGATCACGTACAGATAACACATTTAATCTAATCTGGTTTCCCTGGTTTGAAGGGAGCTATAAGTATAGTATATAAAAAGTCTATAAAAGGTGTTGTTTTTTTCTTAAACTTTCATTACCAAGAGAACATTTTAAATATGTATTTTTATGTATTTGTTCAATACTTTTACTTCTAATCTCAATCTACATTCATAAGGTAAATGCATGCGCTTTAATGGATGAACTGTGTGCGATGCTCTACTGAAACATGCAGCCTAGAGTAGAGCTGCAGGTGAAAATTACTTTTCCCCATTAGAAAAACACTATTCGGCTCAATATCCAGTTGGCAAAGGCCCTCCAGTGGAGTACAGCAGGAACATAGGTCTCCATCAGAAATTATTAGTTGTCCTTTTACAAATAATTTCACTCTTTGCAGTCTTGATACCCAGACATTTGTACATATTCAGGGTTTGGAGGGTTACTTTAAGGGTGTAATCTGATACGATAGCTAATTACCTGTTAAAGAAATTTAGCCAGTAACCTAATCCAAGTATCACAATAGTACAGTAATGTAACATGATTACTTTCACTTTCACCTCAACACCAAATATGTAAATAAAGATGAGAAGATATTATCAATAAGACTACTTTTACTATAAGAAACAATTTAATCAAAAGAAAAATCTAGATTTTTAGCATCAATAATGTGTCCTCTGCTCAGTGTTTTTTAAAGAAAAACTATAGTAGCCTGTAGTCCATTTTCAGAACTGGAAGGCCAAACTTGCACTGTACTGTGATGCTGTTCCCTTTTCTGCTTTAAAGACAAAATAATGGTGAAATTTCCTTCCAGTGAAAGAATGTTGTTTCATTGGAGGCCATAACAGTGAATTAGCAGCAGTAAGATAAGCTATGGTTTCACTCCAGACCAGATGAGTCTCATGAAGCGTTATAACATGCATGCTGCACTGTATATCATTATTTATTTTAAAATGTGAGGGATTTCAGTTACCTTTTTTATAAATTAAATGTAATCCTTTACTCTTCAAGCCTGTACATATTAAACATATAAGATTTAATTTGAGTTAATTAGTAACCTTTAGAGGTGCTGGTAGTTGTATTTTGCTACTTTTGGACTGAGCCAGGTTAGTTGTTTCCCCTTGTTTCCAGTTTTTGTACTAAGCTAAGATAACTGGCTACTGGCTGTTGACATATATTTACCGGTCAGGTATGAGACTGGTATCAATCTTCTCATCTAACTCTTGGCAAGAAAGTGAAAATGTTGAACAATTCCTTTCAGCTACTTAAAGTAAATCAATGACTTTATAAGACTAAAACAAGGTGGAAACTGTCTAGTAACCGTTCTTTCTTTCACATTTTTTCCTTTGTGCTCTAGCGAACGACACCATACAGGTCTTTTACAAACAAAAAACCCTCACTCCTGCCAGAGGCTCATCGGTCAAACTATCATGTGAGGCACATTATGACTTCGAGAAATGCAGACTGCTGCAGGTTGTTTGGTGTAAGCAAGGTGTCGAGCTGACGGACCCCAGCAAGTACTTCACCACAGTAAACGAGACAATCTCTGATGAAAACAAGACATACAGACGCAGACAGGTTGTGACAGAGATTCTCGACCTGACATCAAAGGACAACGGTGACATTTCAATGCAAGGCCTCATGTGACAGTGACACAGCAATGGGACATTTCATCTGGATCAGTGTCAAAGGTATGTGGTGATCAAGAAGGGAAAATTAAATTAACTCACATTATTGTCACAGTATTGCCATGAAACTTTATACACACATCTATGGTCCCCTGAGGATGGATATTATTTTCTTTGTCTTGCCTGCAGCATTTATATTACCTTCTTGGTTACTTCTTTCAGTGGGAAAGAGGCCATTTTATACTGATGATGCACACTGATGCCTGTCCTGCTCTGTTATGTTCTCTTGCAGACTGATCATCTGACCGAGACGGCTCCTTTCACAAAGGATTAAAATGGATTAAAACAAGATGAGTGCATCAGGCTGCATTCTCCAAAAGCATCTTGAGAGAAATGTATGCTGTATTCTAAGTCTATAGAATAAATTGAACAAAGGTTTACTCCAGGTTTATTTTGTTATCTTTTTTCATCATCTGTTGTAACTGCTTTAATGGCCTTTGGTAAGCAGATTAAATTTCTACAATATGACCTTGTCCCCAGACCTTAGCAAAGACAGCTGATGTTACTTACACTGTAAAAAATGTCTGTAGATTTTACGGGTGAAACACTGTCAAACCTTGACAGCAAAAGACTGAAAACTCCAAATAGGTTAGGTATATACAGTTTATGTGACATTACAGAATTATTACAGATGGTCAATTGCACATAAATCTCATGACAAAAACTTTTTTATACAGAATTCATATAGTATTTTCGTGTGGCAAAATCACTTGTTGGTAAAAATGTATATTTATAAGGTAAAATATGGAATAAAACTTCAACTTTAACTGTAAAATCAACAGTACTAATATCCTTTTGCCGTAATAGTACAAAAGCTCTATTGTATTTATTACAATAATGTTCTGGCAACCACAGTTTTTGCCGTAAACATAACTTCTTTTTTACAATGTAGATGTTAGTTGGTGACTTTTGGGCATATAAAAACCCACTCTGTACGAGTCATTTAACATCATCATTAATTGTGGTGTACGCTAAATATTAATATATATTTTGATAGGGAAGAAAAAATAAATAGTCTTGAAACAATTTCATATTGATAATAGAGGTTAAATAGGTTTGTTAGAACATAAAATCCTATTTGCATATATTTAAGTCATGTACATTGAGAGTGGGTGATATGCCAATATATATACAGTATACTGCGAAACAATATAAATTTGTCAACCACATTGCTGTGTACATATTAGGTTGAATGCATGGTAAATATTATATTTTTGATTTTTCAATGAACGCACTGAATTACTTTGCATTGTCAGAAACCAGTGAACTCAAAGCTGATTGTGTTGTGATATGCAGAGCCACACCAACTGCAACTGGTTTGTTGCACTCTGCAGTCTGCCTTCAAACGGTTTCCTTCGCACTGTGTTTATTTTCAGGGCCATGCAATCCCTACAACATTAGAAAATGCCACATCTGTTAAAGTAACAACAACAAGAATAAGCCTACACTATATGGCGTTTGGCAGTTTATATAATGCTGATAATCCTCACAAAGCATGGCACTTCCTACTTTATTAGAATCAGTTGCTGTATTTATTTTGAGATCTGGTTGGAAATCGGGCCTGTTACTTGTTATTTTCTGTACAAAATAATTGAATTCAGCATACAAGCACGGATTGCAGCTGTTGTAAAACCATGATAGGTGAGATTGTAGCTGCATTGCTCTGTCACACTCATAGAGAATGAACTTGCAGATGTGACTCCATTTTAATATACAACTATTCATCATACTAGTGGAGAGCTGAAGACACAAAACCACAGGACAGGAAACTACATTGGTTTCGAAATCGTGTTTAAAGTACACAGTAAAGAGGAAGACCATACGTCATGTATTCTTGTCGGTCATAGGTTGTTTTGTTTTTTTTGTGTGTGTAAAATAGAATTTGGGTTACTAAACATTGTGACCCTGCTCTGAGAAGAGTTTGCAGATTTAATAATAATTTTTTAGACCGACATTCCATCCCATCCCTAGCAGCATGGCTCTAAGGATGGCAATGTCAGTCTGTCGGTCCACCACTTTGGTCCTTAAATTATCTCAACATCTGCTCAATGGATTCATAAAATTTGGTTTAAGATTAAAATTTTTGCACATCCTGCAAAAACAACTACATCCATAAAACAAAGAATTAAAGAATGGATTGGATTTATCAACATTAACACGCAGGACAATGAAAAAAAAGGCAACAATATTAAATGCCTTAAAGAGAAATTTAGTTATCTGTGCTCTGAGATCAATATCAGCTCAGATATATGCTGAAATGTACAACCAAACCAAACAAAAAAATAGAGAAAACTTTTCCAAGAGTATTTTGGATGAACCAACTTGATGTGCACTGTGTGTTGCTGAGATTTTTCTTGTGCTTGTTGGTGGTTAATTCTGGAAATGTATGCATGAACTTTTTCACAATACTAACACAAATTTCCCTTTAATATAGCATATAAAATGTAGCTTTACAATACAGGGTAGATGTTACTGTTAAGTCAGACCACTGAGGTTTCTCTATGTGCAGCTTTCAGACCTTTTATCCCCCATGCGCTCCAAAGGCTAACAGCGGGGGACGTGCGCACTGAACAGGAAGCCATATGTAGAGCATGTTGCAAGATGCTCGGCACAGCGCTTCGACCGATTCACACCACAGTTGTCTCATTTAACAGTGCCATGTACTCAGCTATAAAGTTATATTCTACGTGCTATATTACAGGTCGATATTTGTATTTCTGAGTGTTGTTAAAAAGTAAATAATGCTAAATAGGTTAGATGATCTTGAAATATCAATTCTCTGCAATCTCATTTTCTAATCAGCAAGAGGATCTTTGTAGGCCTTTGTGGAGCAACCTTTATTAATCACAGCAACCCTGAGGGCTGTTTGCTGCTTGTCGGGGTTTGTGCTTTAAAGGACAAATGTGACTTTTAGACGTGATCAACCTTGTATTGTTGTCAAATGCTTCATGCGGGACCCTGCTGATGAATGGTTGTGGCAAGACTTTTTTTGCTTTCATTCTCAAGCATTTAGAAAGTCTTATATCCAGTGGATGTCTCTTCCAATAAATTAAACTTCGTGCCAGCGTGAACCAAAACATTTGAGAAAGCACCGGCAGTCACAAAGCCAGTGAAACTCCATTCAGTGATCATTTCCTTAACATTAAAGGAAATGGTTACTGAATGAAGGTATGAGACTCTGATAATACAGACACAATACACAGACGTTTATAAATAGCCATCCTGAGTTATGGATGGTGACACACTGACAGCAGGACATCTAATATGGATGATTCTCTGCATTGTCTTGCTGGCTAACCAGAGCTTTATGCTATATGCAATCTGAAACCAGTGACAGTCACTTTTGATGGGTGTTGAATCACAAGTTTATTTTGGTTCCACTACACTTTAACTTGTCAACAACGCACTCCTCTGGACGCCTTGTGTATTGCTAAACCGGAGAAGATCATACATTTAGGGAGTGTGTCATCAGTAATGAATAAATTACACTCTAATCCAGTAACGATTTTGCTAATATATGAGTGATCCTGAGTGGGATACCGTATATGTACTTATATGTTCTGGGGCCCTTGTGTTGTATATGCATTTACATGTTCTGTGTCCTTTTTTTTGGGTCTTTGTTGATGTCCTGAGCACACTGAAGCAAATCCCTAGCAACTTGCAGCGAGTTGTATGGCCATAAAGTATTGAATCTTGAATCTTGATCTTGAAATATTATAATTAAGTTAACCACAACATGGAGTAACATTGCTGTCTTGTCTTGAACGTCTTCTTTGTTTTGGACAACGAGGAAGTCTGATATTTTGATATACAGTGAAATAGCACAATGTGGTTGTGTCCTAATATCTAAGTCCATCAACAATATAACCACAACGCCTCCTATTGATTCTGGTTGGGGAAATGTGCTGCATGTCCTACCCCTCTATCTGTTTCTATACAGTAAACTATCACATTAAGAGATGAAGGCTAAAATAATTGTCTATTAAAAAAGCACAATGTGTAATTTCTGTTTGTCAAAGAAGAAGACCAGCAGCAGAAAGTATTTTAAAATTAGACCACAGTCAGAAAGTAAGACAGTGAGCCATTTCTCCTGAACAATTATAGACTGAGTGTAAAATGACACAGTGCAATTGCAACACATCTTTTTAATACAGTCAGGCTAAAATGGTGAAAAACATTAAAAGGAATTTATACAAAATTAAAAACTCACCACATTCAAAAATGATCTCTTTAACTTAATATCGGGGGAAATTATACTTGAGGCAATCAAAATACTCAGGAGAAATATGTCTGAAGGCTCACAGAGAAGCCAAGAAATGTCTCACGTTGATGTTAAAAGCTAATTAAGTTTAAATTAATCATAGCCACTAACTCCAGCTGAGGGCTTTGCTGAACAATCGCACCCCTGTTGGCATTTTTGTGCTTCATAGTTCCACATATTTCCACCTGTCAAGATTCCAAGAACTGTCTCCATCTGTTGGCGGAGGAGCAATTAATGTGTCAAAAGGAATAAACTACCCCCTCTGCACCTCCCTCATGTTCCAGAGGATTCAAACCAGTAGGCCACAAGCTCTCTTCTGTAACATTTAGGCTACCGATTCCACCAAATAATATAATCATTTCTCAGTCTTTTGTTTTCTCTGCCACCTTTGGAGATTCATAAGGTGAATGACATCAGGAGCTCTGTGGTCGCCCGGGCTTGGTGAATTTGCTCTGCAGGAACACTCTGGGAACACAAAGCCCCTCCTTCTTGTTGACCGTCTCTCTCAGGACGTAGTCGTTAGAAACAGACTGGAGGCCCGTGTCCTCAAACAGCTCAGCCAGGAACTCTGAAAGAAGACGAAAAGAGAAAAACTGCGACTTTAGAGCGAGGGAACGAGGCAAAATGAAGGTTGAGGTGTTTTCTGTTGTGTCATGAAATATTAATAGAGCCTGACTCTTGTCTGTCACTGCATCCTTCCCATGTAGCAGTTCCTGTACAAACAGCTGTATAATTCACAATTCTTTATACTATCTTCATACCACCATTGGTGCAGGCGAAGATCTATGAACTCTAAAAACAAGTTAAAACCAGCTTATTGCTCAGCACTTATGTTTGGGAAGCAGACCAACAAGCATTGAAATCACAAACGGTTACTCAATCTATCTACCTTTCCATCCATCTATCTTCAGTCTCAATGACACAGACCCTAAAAACACCTTCCCTGAAGTCACTTACTGACCTTTAGAGAAGAAGTAGGACCTGGTGCCGTCTTGGCGGACGTAGAAGTTCTCCCCCAGCTTGCTGCCGGCTTTAAATCGGAGCATGGCGTGGTCGTGCAGGCCGTAGTCCCTGAACAGGACGATGCCTCCAGGCTTCAGCACCTTAAAGCCACATGTACACTTCATTACATTAAACTGTCCGAACCAGCTTGTATTAGGGAGTTACCACCAGACACATGCTGGTAAGTAACTGCCTCGAACTTTAGCAGCAAACATCAATCTTTGTGCCATTTGTTTGTACACACAGTAGATTATCTGTATGTTAAACAAGTATGTTAATGATTATGTATTAAAAAGAAATGATCAAATTAAACTTCTTTGTTTCGGCAACCCCTCCACTTGAGTCTCTCCACCTGGCTGTGTCTGCTCTCACCCTGCTGATGTTCTGCAAAGCCAGCTTCATCTTGTCCGGGTGGATGGCCGACAGCACGAAGATGAGAGTGATGACGTCCACGCTGCCCTCGGGCACATTGTCCCTCAGATCATCGTTAGTTAAATCGCACTGGAAGGCACAGCAGCGCTCAGGGCAGTACAGAGGGTTTTGCTGTAAAGAAAAAGCAGATAATGGGAGGAGATCTGACCTGATTCTGTTTTGCCTTCACTTGAAAACTGTCCTGTACACCCAGTTTTTCTACTGTTATGCACTCAGTCAGAATCTTTTTAGAAAGCAGCGGCCTAGAGGTTGGAGGCTTGTGACCAATTACAAGTGATAAGTGAGCCCTTCAGGAAAGTGTTAATCCATCAAATCCTCCAGCAGAACTGTTTCGGCAGCCGACAGCAGAAAGACCCGGGTTTGTACTGATGATTCACAGGTCTGTGTTTTAGATATCGTACTTTGACAAATTCAACAGCTCGTGGCGAGAAGTCACAGGCGTAAACAAAGATGTTGAGGTCATCCTCCAGCAGAGGGAAGATGCAGTTTCCTACACCGCAGCCCGCCTCCAGCAGCACCAGCCTCTGGGACTCAAACTGCAAACCAAACAGCACAAAGACAGAACTATTTCATACCCACAAACACCTGCTCATCACTTTATTCATACGTTATCCTGCACAGATTTAAACGATGGAGGGAAATACTGACATTTTGGTGTTTTTTAGTGTAATTTTCTTTTGCTGGATCACCTTTTATTCCCACAGCGACAACATTCACAGTAAGATGTTAATGTAAGGAACTACATTTAAGGATTATTATGCATACAAACTGAATTTTTTTTATGAATAAAACATGTTTTAAGCTACTTTAACTTACTTTAAAGTTACAACAACTCATTACTCAAGCAGATATACCAACATAACTTAAAGTAGGGTTTAATATCTGGCCTCTTGGGTGTGTCCTCTCACCTCTCTGCAAGCCTGGAGCTCTTCAAACTCTCTGGTGGTCCAGTGTCTGTCCTTGAAGAAATGTGTAGCGTTTCTTTTGTAAAACAGGTCCCAGTTTTTCTGAGCTTCTTTCTCCAACTTCATGTGTTTGAAGTCGGACACCAGAGCCCGCTCCCCGCCGACTCTCTGCGGCCCCTCCGCGGTTAAACCTCTGGCGGCGGATGTTTTGGTCTGTGCGGGGACACACGGAGACACCACGTCCTTTGACCCCTCGTCCTTTGACCCCACGTCTTCCTCGGTAGCTGTCATTTTAACATCACCAGGGAACCGTGTCTCTTCCGACCGCGCCATGAGGCTGTTAGAAAGCAGTTTTACAGACGTTACTTATCGTACATTGGTGGGAAGACAAACATTTCAACAGACTTTACAGCCACTTGAGTTATTTAGATTATAAATAACGCTAAAACTAACTTATTGTTTTAGAAAAATCTTGCGCCTAGTTCGATTTTCCACATTTCACGTCCATGTTTGTCCGTCGTTTAAATTCTTCCGGTTAGCATTTACAATTTAATTCCGTTTCTTTTCTGTGGCGTTAATAAAAAAAATCATCGCTAGTCACCCACTGAATAAAACATACTGTAATAATCATTTGGTTTAATTAGATTTTCAAGCTTTATATGTAATTGAGAAAAAAAAAAAAAAAAGCAGAGTTGCTATGGTGATTTGTTTTTTTCGGCCACATTTGCTAGCCGCACCGAAAGCGGAAGAGGAGTGACGAAAAGGGATTGTTTTGCTAAAGGCTAACTGTTGTCTCACAGTGGATTTGTTATTCCCTCTCTAATCGGCGCTGTGAGCTCCCAGAGGAATATCTCCGGACACAAATGTGAGTCGATCGAGGGAAACAAACGGGGGAAACATGAACGGGAGCACGAACCCGCTGCTGGACAAAGAGGAGCATGTGTTGAAGCTCGGAGAAAGCTTCGAGAAGAGGCCGAAATCTTCCTTTCACACCATCAGATGTGAGTGCGAGTGGAAAAGTTAGTAGTAGTCAACAAGACAGACAGTAAGAAATGTTGAAATTGGTCCAGGGTTTAGTTTGCGAGTGGAAGAACAAGCAGTGTGTGCTCTGTGTATGCTTCATCAGTCAGAAAAACTAATAATATCTGTGGTAAACATCATGTAGGTGAGCTCTGTGTACAGTGTTGTTGGATATATTACAATATTGTTTATTATTGTAAGTAAAAATGTGCATTTTGCCTCTTTTTGAGAACCTTTGACTCTCATTTACAAGCCTTTACTAAAGGGTGTAATACTGCCTGCAGCTGCTGTGTGTCCTTTCTTTCACTCACTGTGATTGAGTGTGAAGAGGATGTGTGCCTCTCTGTCTGAGGCTCGTTTATTATTGTCTTCACTCTTCATAAACTGACATTAGACGCCTGTTGGAGTGAAACCGAGCTGCACAAAGATGTGTGGTTTGTGATTAGTCGATTCATGGTTGATCGCCAGCTGTATTGATTATAGATTCATTGTTTTGAGTCATTTTTTTTTAAAGAAAAGAAAGTCCAAATTCTCTGATTTCAGTTACTCAAATGTGAATATTTTCTGTTTTCTTGAGTCCTCTATCACAGTAAACTGAATATCTTTGGGTTGTGGACACAACAAGACATTTGAGGACGTCACCTTGGGCTGTGGGAAACGGTGAACAACATTTTTCACCATTTTCTGACATTTTCTGGAACAAACAACTAATTGATTAATTGATCAAATGATCAACAGATTAGCCAATAATGAAAATAATCAATAGTTACAGCCCTATTGTGCAGTGAAACAGAGTTACGATCACATTGCACTTCAGCGCCAGTAATGGAAGTAAGAAATAAAGTGATATTGGCATCTATGGTGACAGAAGAAATTACAGAAATGTCAGTGATGTTTGAGGTTATTCATAAACAGTGTTAATATTCCATTGTTTGTCCATCTGTTTATTTTTCAACTGTGTGTCACTTTCTGTACATATCATGGTCACAAGTCTTACAAACAACAAAGGAAACCAAACATTTTAAAGAAGAATATTGGCTTTTTCATTATGATCTGATTTTTTTAAACTTTCTAATATCAACAGCAGCCATAAAAATCCATTATCTGCCAGGCACACACAGTCATAATAAATATACAGTTATATAACTTGTATAACACAAAGTTAAAGAAACTGTGTCAAGCCCATTTTTATTTTGCATTGTCTGCATTTGAACAGCGTCCGACCCAGTTATGCTGTGCAGGAGACTTCTGGTTTTTGTCCTCGTGACTTACATCTAATCAATGTCCGTCCTTTTCAGATGACTTTAAACCGGCATCTATCGACACAAGCTGTGAGGGAGAGCTACAAGTTGGGAAAGGAGATGAAGTTACCATAACGTTACCTCACATCCCGGTAAGACCGTCTGCGGTTCTCTGGTTTAAGTGATTCTAAATTCACCAGACACTTCTTCACCAACCCTTTAATCGCAAATACTTCGGAGGAGATGTAAATGTTTTTAAAAGGCTTTTATGAATTGTTGTGAATTAAAAAGGTTGCTGTTTAGCACCCAACACTATGTTTTCTTAGAGAATGTAAGTGAACAGAAACACAGTAGCTGTCTGTAAGGGAGGAAATCAGTCTAAGAACCTATGGTAGCCTCTGTAAAATAATGAGGTTAAAACATGAAAAGTTGCTATTACAGTCCCTTAAATGTGGACAGGTCATACAGGCAGAGTGCCCTAAATTACTATAACTGCTAGAGACAATTAAAAGAATACTTGAATAGTTTGTTGCCCATTACTTTTACTTCATCTGACATGTTTATGTAGTAAGAATCTTTTGCAGTTCCCACTAATATTGTAAATTGAATGACTTTCTGAGATTTTACAACAAAGTTAAATTCATGTGAAACCTCTTTAAACATGTCATAAAGTGTTTTTCGTAGAAGAACTGGCTCAAGTACACAAGTTCAAAATCCTTTTAATCAGAATCCACTTTATTGGCCGAATATGTTGATACATTGAAGGAATGTGACTCTGGTTTTCAATTTACTTCAAATACAGCGACACAGAACAGCTGCACAGTAGGATACACATATAACATAGATAGATTCTTTATTGTCCTTTTCAGGAAATTTGTTGCCACAGTCTGTGCATACACGTATACACACAACATTACCACAGGATTAGACATCTAAACACAACACAGGTAATTACACATAACGGCTACCGGGGAGTTTTGTATAGTAATGCTAAGTTTCGTCCCTTCTGCCATAGCGAGATGAATCAAATGTGTCGGTATGTGTTGAGTAACTTTTTCTGTACCCAACACACTGTGCTGGTACAGAAAAACCTTCTTTTTCTTTTTGCCATGGTATCGAAGGAGATGTCGAGTATCTTCTTTTATACTAGTATTGCATCCCAGATTAAAATTCTGGTATCGCCACAAGCTTTGGTACATTCGGTACATATTGGGATTATTGTTGTTCTTCCAGGGCTCCACGCCTCCCATGACGGTATTCAAAGGAAACAAGCGGCCGTACCAGAAGGACTGTGTGCTCATCATCAACCACGACACCGGGGAATTCGTACTGGAGAAGCTGAGCAGCAGCATCCAGGTCAAGAAGACTAGGTGAGAGGTCAAAGATCGGAGACGTTCAGATAATGACAACATTAAGTGAGAGAGGAAAAATGTAGCAATCTGAGCTTCTGTTAAGATAAATTCATGTTCAATTTACCTTTAATGTGCAGATTTGTTGGTTGCCATAACGAAGCATAATTGTTAGAAACCTTTTTTTTTTTATCCATTCCTCACAGGGGGAAATTATTCTATTGATCTCAAACCATTAATTACACTGTGTAGTTTTGTGATTCCATTCAATACCTTTTAGTTCTCAGACTGACATTTTATTGTCTGTGCATTTTCCATTAGTCTAATTTAGAATCTGAGGCATTCTTCAGAACCCTTTGGCTCCACCTTTTGGACGTTTATTATTACTACACCAAACCATATTTTTCGAAACAGTTGTTTATGTATTTTGGGGCACTGATAGTCACTTACACTATCTCCCCCAAGAGGATTTTCCTGCTGTTAAATCTGCAGTAGGTAAGTTTTATAAAAACATTTTTTTGTCATATTTGCTGAAACTTTTACGACTGTAGCAAATGAGACAGAAATTCTGTGAAAAAATCTGGTTCTTCTGGCCCGTTCTTTGTGACATTTGCAAGAATCCACCAGGCCAACACCGCAAAAACAGCCCTTCTAGAAACTAGTAAAATATTCTTGAATTTAATAACGTTTTATTGTACTGAGCAAAGAAATCTGCCAGTGGGGTGAACCAAATTTGCTTGGCTAGAATTCTTTAACTTAGCATAAAAATCTAGCCATCTGTTTATTACAAGCAATGAAAACTCCGTTATTTAATATACGATTAATAATGGGCAAAAAAGAGACATTTTAATAAGACAATTTCTCCAAACAGCATAATAAAAACAAGTGACTTTGTCTTAAATGAAGGCACCAGAAGCATTTTTATTTTTATACTTTATTTTTATTAAAACAATGAAAAACAGCTGCTTCATTTCCAACACTGGGACAAGACTACTTTCTCTTAAATTGAGAAGTTGTGCGAGAGGTCTTACTCTTAAAATGAGTGAAATAATTACTCTGCTGGGATATTATGCAAACCAGCTGTAATATCTTATCAAGGCAAAGTTAGATATGTTTTCTTAAAACACGATGACTTTTCTAATGCAGAAAATATAGACAAATTTCCCAGAAACAAGACTTTTTTACTTTCTAGAGATTCCTCTTTTGCAGTGAACAAAAACGACCAATCAGAGCCGAGAAAGATAGCTGATTGTGAGTCTTTTTCCCAGGTCGTCAAAAACAGACACGCTGGGACCCTGGGAATGAAACTCAGCAATCAACTATCTTCAAGCCTTCAACCCAAAGGCTCTTTATATCTTTCTCTGCTCTGATTGGTTCCCAGTGGATTCCTAAAAGTCCCATTTGGAGCACTAGAATGAGCCAGAGGAACCTAATTTTTTCAGAGGTTATCAGTCTCATGTACTACTGTCAGAACACAGTGAACATTTCAGCAAAAATGTCAGAAAGTTATTTTTTATAAAGGTTACCTACTGCAGCTTTAAGATTCAGGTGGATCGAGAAGACCTGCAGGAGATCAGAAAGAACTAATGTGTGTGTGTGTGTGTGTGTGTGTGTGTGTGTGTGTGTGTGTGTGTGTGTGTGTGTGTGTGTGTGTGTGTGTGTGTGTGTGTGTGTGTGTGTGTGTGTTTCAGGGCGGAGGGCAGCAGTAAGATCCAGGCTCGGATTGAGCAGCAGTCGGTCCGGTCCAGCCAGCCCAGTTCTCAGTTCCGGGCCCCCACCAAGCCCGGGACCGGAGTCAAGGCCTCCCCATCTCCTTCTAAGGATAATCCCTCCCCAGAGCCTCAGCTCGATGACATCAAAAGAGGTAAGGAGGTCCAGACACGACCACAGCCTCACTGCAAACCTAATCATAACACATGGACCATATAATTTTAGTTATCGCACGTATGGTGTGCTTTAACAAATATTTGGATAAACGGATCAGTGGGAATGAGGAAGGAAAGGATGGAATATAAAACAAGAAAGAGATGTTGACCTTGCTGCTGTTGGCAGAGCTGCGAGCGGAGGTGGAGGTGATAGAGCAGATGAGCAGCAGCGGCAGCAGCAGCTCCTCCGACTCAGCCAGCGCCTCGGGGAGCGGCGACGACAGCAGCAGCAGCGACGCCGAGCACGACTTCCCCCGACCGCTCACCCAGACCTCCCCCAACCGCCACCCCATGGCCAACGGAGGAGCCGACCGGCAGCAGGGCAACAACCAGCTCATGAACACACTACGTGAGTGTCTTTTTTTTTTCCCATTAAGAGAAGGAAAACCTTGCTCATAGCTCATGTCGTTGCTGCCAGTTATTCCTCATAGGACACTGATTTGTCCGAACCATTGTGGTTTGGATAGACTGCAAAGATTAAAGCCTGGCTCGCAAGTCCGGCTGAGCAAGGTATCCTAAAAATAACAATCTACAGTGGGCCCAGTTAAGACCTGTAGTGAAGTAAAAACAGCCCTGAGTTCAAAGCAAGCGGTGATGATGTTATATTATTATATTATATATATTATATTATATATTATTATTATTTTGATCATGAACTGATTTATTACAGTTTCTTATAATCATAAACAGAATTTTATAAAATGATAGCATATGATTGTTTCATCTTAATACAATATACAACAATCTGTTAATGATGTAATTGTTGCCCAGTTCACTCACTTTGCACCTGTCTTGTACAGTAAATGGGCTGGTTCCTCCACCAGACAGAAGACTGGCGATGGACATGGAGATGCCGCCTTGGTGTCAGTATTTACTGGCAGAGACGCTTCAGTAAACAATCTTTAACGTGTTTGTCTTCTGGTCTTCACAGGAAACGACCTACAGCTCAGCGAGTCGGGCAGCGACAGCGACGACGACTGAACTCTGGTCAGTCTCTCTCTCTCTCCACACTCCTCCTCCTCCTTTCTGCCTGGTTCACTTATTCCTTTGCTGTGATAGCTGACCCCAGCTGTATATCTCGGTTTGACTGTATTTTTCATTTTATTTTAGTATATCCTTAAAGCTGGCCAGCCTGGAACTTTAAGAGTGTATTTTTATTAGATGTATATTTTGTTTTGTATAGCAAAACTTTAGAAAAAGAAACTTTTACTTGAGAGGTTTGGAAGAGTATATATTAGAGTGCACATACATATTTTCTGTACTTAGAGCAGCTAGTTTTCTCTACCTGTATCATCTGTTTTTGTGGTGTTTATCGTAAGGCGAGGAAGAGATTGTGTTGAAGTATCACCCCTCATCCTCTCACCTGGCCTCGTCGTTTATCAGAGAAGGTTGTGGGAACCCTCTCTGTCTTTTTATTGGTTCGCTAAGAATACAAAAATTGCAGAATTGCACAGATAGCCTGTGCAGCCTGTGCATGAGCAACAAATCAAAGGAAAAAACATCAATTTTATCATCAGCTTATGTAGTGGGTTGAGATCAGTGTAGAGCTGCCTTACTGATCTCAACTTTAGTTTCTTAGTCACAGTTTTAAACCGTTTGCTGCGTTTTAAAAATCTCTCTCACCTTCATTCGTTAGAAATGAATAACTCCTTAACGCTTATGTCCTTCATTAAAGGATAAGGATATACTTTATGTTTGTTATCGTCAATAAATCCCATGAAAAGACCAACCCTGGCTGTCTGTGGCTCTGAAGACATGAATCTATAAAAACAGCTCACACATAAATAGATTTATTTTCTAAAAAAGCACAGTAGTGTCCTTAAATAGCTGGACGCAGGAGTTTTTAGCAAACGTTACTAAAACAGTAAATAAGTAATTTCTTGGGACTATTTTCAGCGGCGGATTAATCCACATTTGGTGCTCCAGTGAGTATTTGTGGCAGTAGAACAATGTATGTGAGATTGAGTTAAAATAACCCACAGTGTGTATGTTCATGGTAATAAAGGAACATGAATAATGTAACATTGATCTGTTTTTAATAGTTTTTTGACAACATTGGCGCTTTTGATACACACACAATAGGTTTTGGTCTTTTCATGGGATTTGCTGCCAGTAAGAGAAATATATAGAATTTTGCCAGTTCATAAAACAGTTATCTAATTAAAGTGGAATTTACCTAAATTAAATTTCAGGTTGCTGTTCGGTAATTATTTCACTTCAAGGTTTTGGCAGAAGTTCAAGATTAGTGACATAACCTTATAGGAAATCTGATTTAGATTCAGACTAATTTGATTTTGATTTCTGGCATCTAGTGCCACATAGCACAATGTCTACGAGTTGGAGCCAAGTTACAGATGTTTAAAGCTGCATTTAAAACTCAAACTCACAGACACACAGACCTGATATATATCAGCTGATTGTGTTGTTATGCTCATGTGTTAGCAAACAGTTGAATGTAAGTCTAGTACTCACTTTCCTTTAAGCTCTGTCCACCAGCAACTGAGACTCAACTGTGGCTGCAGTTGTTGATGAGAGCCGAGAGAACTCAAACGTACAGTTTATCTGTAGCTGGAGAATCAAACACTATGAGCTTCAAGAGGCTCACAATCCCAGCCGAGCTGCAGAGGTGGCTGTTAATTAGCAGTGTTACCAAATAAAACATAGGCAGCCATTTGATTGTACACTACATGCCCTGCACCAAACAGAGGAGGAGTTAGTAAGTTGGTAGTTTACTACAACAAATGCATTTTCTCAGCTGTGTGTTGGTATCTCCATCATTACTTCCTTCCTTCTCGTCCTTTTCCAAAGTCACAGTAAATCCCACGGATTCACAGTATAACCAGTAACAGTATCATAGTTGAATTTCAGAGAATTACTGATGATATCAAACACTCCACAGTCTGTTAAGATCATCAAAGTTAAAATCGGAGTCTAGATTTGAGACATTACAAAAACACCTGAAACTCAACTTATAGATGATTAAATCTGGAAAAGGGAAAAAGATTCCTCAAAGAGCTTTATTTTCCTATTTTTTCTTTTCCAAATGACCACTATTTGTTTCACTTTTGTTGTGTCAGCCATGTCGTTTTTCAAACAGAGAATATCTTATTTTTCCATCATTTTCATATAACACTTATATTATTGGACCATTCCATGCCTTACAGCATTTCAGTTTGGATATGAAGGTTGAATGTGTCGTTTTCTGAGAATGCCAAAGAGTTGAACTGCCCCTCATCATGTGCAGAGAGCAGGAACGTTCAGAGTAACAGTGTCCCGTCAGTGTGTAAATGTATTCAGTATTCAGTATCGGAGACTGTGTTGTGTACGAGTAGTGAAGTCAGTGATTATCTGCAGGAGTCAATATCATTCGGTGTTGGTTGTACAGTATTGTGTATACATGGTATCATTATTAATGCATCAAAGGCAAATCACAGAATCATGATGATTTGATCAAATGGACAAATTTAAATGTATTAATTAGATCTGAACTAATCTGATGTTAGAGTCCTGATCAACTAACAAATCTGTAGTTGAGGAAGAAGAAGCAGGAGTTATTTGTCATTACCCCACAATTGTTTTCTCTTATTTTACCTGCTGTAATTAGACACTTAGTACCATAGAGTGTACAATATGTAAGGCTGCAACTAACTATTTTTATTATCAACTAATCTGCTGATTATTGATTTAGTGGATTTATTAACAGTTTGGTCTAAAAATACCAGAATGTACTTAGAGCTGGGTATCATTTCAATACTATGACTTTGATACCGGTTCCTGAACAATACTTTTTTTCGATACCAATATTATGAAATACATTTTAACATTGTATCAGACTATTTAAAACATAAATAATCAAAAGGAACTTTAATAACAAACAGTGAACAGAAATGTGGTACCGAATGACGAGAGATTTTTCAATACTTGATAGCATCGAAGCAATTCAGTCGGTGCCATAGACGTTTGGTGCTGACATTTTTTTTCTTTTTAACGATTTACTAATGAATATTACACATTTTAAAAACCCAAATAGTTTTGTGGCATTTTGAAATGAAACCCTTCAATTACAGGTAAAATGATCTGCTATGTAACGGTTGTTGGTATTTCATATTGTAGTTGTGTTTCTCAAAAGCTTCTTGAGATGAGGTTCAGTTTTGCTTGTTGAGCTCACAGAACTGAGGATTGTGAGTTATGAGATGCCTGTAAACAGTTACTGACCTACCACACAGTACTCAAAACCATAACAGTTTTAAAGCTCCTGCCTCTTAAAACAAAGTACCAGTTTATTGTGGAAATTAACCGTCTGCAAGTTCAGACTGTGGACCATTAGTTTGTAAACCCTACATCACCCGTCAGTTGTTGTCCTACTCAGTTTTAAACTTCTCCCGTACTTGAAGTCGAAGTGGATGGTGAGTTGTTGAATGAAGCAGCCACTGAGGCAGGTGGCCACTGAAGTCACACTCACTGGTGTTCCCTCTGAAATCTGTTTTGTTGTATTTGGTGCTTTAGTTCTCATGTTTTTGTTTTAGTGCTACGTTTACGTGAAACATGTTTGTACAGATCTGTATTAAAAGTGTGCAAATGTATTAAAAATTTATGTTTTCCCTTTTCATTGTGAGAATAGACCTTTTTCACAGCAGCCATTTTGCCTCGAAATGATAGGGTAAACACAGGTGTTACTAACGATACTAATTAAGGTTAGTACACCTGTGTTTACCCTATGTGAAAATGGCTGCTGTGAGTGAGTAGCCTTTCCTTATTGAGTGCTGATAAATCTGATTACTTTTATCCTAAGGGGGATTTATAGTTGTGCATTAGGGCTGCAACTAACGATTAAATTCATTACCTCATTATATCTCGTTATCTTTTTCTCAATCGCTTAGTTGTGAAAAATCCCTGTTTCCCAAAGCTCAATGTGACGTCCTCAAATGTCTTGTTCTGCCCACAAACCAAAGATATTCAGTTTACTGACATAGAGGACTAAAGAAACCATAAAGTATTCACGTTTGAGAAGCTGAAAAATGAAAATAGTCAACAATCAACCATTAACCAACTGACTGGTCTCAACTGTTGCAGCTCTATAAAGAGGTTACAATGAAGCTACGGACCACACATCGGTATCGATACCACAACAACGTTTGGTCAGCTCGGACTGCTTGTGTTTATTCCGACACTTATCTAATGCCGGGTGAGATTGCTGACATTAATAAGATTATGAAGTTAGAAGTTAGAATAAAATGTTTTTTTGTGTATAAAAATAGAGTTGCTGTTCTTTCTTTTGATGTATTCACTGTTCACATATCCATAATGAATATGATCTAAAAGGCTGGAGGAGGCTGGCAACTTCAAAATAATACTCTGGGGGAAAGTGTTTCACAGGTTTTAACATTTAGGAAAGTAAAGACAGCAGTCAGAAATGAACTTCGATAAAAGATTATATTGCTGGTCTTTAAATAATTATCGTCAAGTGAACCATATGCTTTGATGAACACCTTCAGTTTGATACGAACCACAACAACCTGTACACGGAGCACAACACAATACAGTACTTTTTCCCTGCGATGGTGCAACAACTGAGTCACATTTGGGCATTTCTCTTCAAACAGTAACACAAAAGTACACAACAAATACATAAATAGCTTTTGTTTCCCTTTAAATCATTTATAACGCAATTATATTCATGATTCTGGCTCTTGCTACGACATGTCATTTGACCGATATATAAATTAAACAACATCAACAACAAATAATAATAATAATATTAATAATAATTAGAACAATAATAATATAAAAGCTGTCTGTCTTTCATATAAATCTGGCTAGCTTACAGTATGAAATGATGGAATAGAGATCACGAGGGCAGTTTGATATGATGCATCAGAGAGTTCCTCCACTCTGAATCTCCTTATTCCATATGCAAATGCTCAGTTTCCCACTTTAAAATGTTTGTGAGAGAAATTTAGGCGCCATGTTGGCTCAGACAAGAGTCCACTGGGCCAAATTGTTTCCTGAGGGTCCAAGGCGTGGACAAACGTTCCTCAGGTGGTGGAGACAGTGAAGTCTCAGAAAGTGGGGCTCCTGAGTTTTCTCTTGGGAGTTCAGTTCTTCCTCTACAAGACTGGAAATAGCACCTCTGGTGGTGGTGGTATTGTGACAGTACATGGTATTACAAGAGGCACAAGGAAGAAGCTGAATGTGGTGGCGAGGTTCAGCCTCCCATCCAGCAAGTGTCCCTCTGGTCCATCACCGTAGCTTGTATCTCTAACGTCCAAGTCACTGCAACGCTTCTTTGTGAAGATATGGACCCTGAGTACCTTGTTGCATCTGATCTGTCGACTTTTGCGTCCTCCCAAACTCTTCTCGGCTTGTTTGGCCCCCTAATTATGTTACTATAAATGACCCTAACCTAGCCCCGTCCCCTCCCTCCCACCTGGGTCACAAGGGTCACCGTCCAGGGCAGGCTATGGGTTTGATGCAGCGTCCCTGGAACAGCACCAGGTTGGCGGGGCAGTGGCAGCCGGCCACGCAGGGCTTGTGGCACGGTCCGATCTCGTTCCAGTTGTCGCAGGTTTTGGTGCAGCCCGGTCCGCATGTGTCGTACACAGCGCCGTGTTTACACTGGGTGGCTGAAGGGAGGGAAGAGACGGTAAAGTTTAAACATTCAATTATAATTAAGTTGATCTAGATTTGATGGACTAATGATCATCAAAATTCAAGTCTTCATTTCACAAAATCAGCTTATGATAGATGTTTAAGAGACAGTTCACCATAACAGACATTAACACACATAAATAAATACTACAAGCAAAAAAGATAACTTCAAATTATGCAATTGAAATGCAGTTAGGTCACGAGCGCTGTCACTCACCCATACAGGCGGTGTCGGGCCTCCAGAGGACGGGTACTCCCTCCCTCTCGCAGGCTCGGCTGTAGGCGATGAAGGACTCACAGTAGCAGTTTTTATGGACCGGACACTCACACATGTCCGTCACACACGACCTACAGAGAGCAGGACAATAAATGATATGTCAGACTTCTGTACTTCACTTGCAGAAAATGATACTTTTAGGTACAGGCCCTGGGTTAGAGGTAAGGTTAGGATGAGTAGGGAGAGTTGACAAGTCAATGGGCTGAAATGTGTAGATAGTGCTTATATCATAAATGATTTATGTCAAATTCCATAAATCAATAAAGTGGCCCTTGAAGGTTCTTTTAGGACTACTATTAAGTTGTGAACCTTAAAACGAGCAAGATTTATAAAATGTGAACTTGAAACACTTCATTGGACATGGGTTAATTATTATGTCATCTTTTGGTATTAAAAGAATGAGTACACTCAGAGTGAGACTCTGTCCTCTAACCTGTAGAAAGGTGCAAAGTCAACCACACGGTGGCACTTCTGAAACTCCCACGACTTTATCTTCTGGCACTCCCTGTGAGCGCGGAACTTGACTTTAACGCTGCCGGGGCAAAGGAAGGACGCCGGCCGGCGAGGCGGAGGCTGCTGTGAGCAAACCTCGTTTCCCTCGACTCGCCACGACTCTGCAAAATCATCCACATCGAACTTGAACTGGCCATCACCTCCCATGGTGTCGTCGCGCTTGTGGCCGTTGTAGTTGCCACAAAGGCCGCAGAGCCGTCCGCGCAGGTGGGGAGCAGCCACAACTTCCACGAAACTGTCGCCGTCCCATGTGATCTCAAGACCTGTAGGGAGAGGTGGAGGAGTTTAAGACTGGTAATTCCTTGAGGTAATACTTCTTTCTCCAACAAATCAAACAGAGGTAAGTGCATTTTGTTGGTTTTAAAGGTGAAAGATCAAGAGATGTAACTTATTATGGTTGCAGCATCTTTTAGAAATATGGATACAAAAATGCAGAAATATTAGTGTATGGCACTAATAAGCAGTAATACATTGATAATGAGCAATCCCATTGACAGAATCTTTTTCAAGTCTGTGAGACTTCATACTAAAGGAATGAAAAAGAGTTTTGCATGCTGACCTGCGATGGTGGTCAGTTTGAGCAGGTATCCGTCCAGGTCGATGTGCACCCCGGGGCCGTGGTAGGGCAGGGCGATGCGGGTGCCGTTCCTCCGGACCGTCAGGTGCTGGTGGAGACTGAGGATCAAACCTCCCAGCCTAATCTCTACAGACTGAGTCCAGGAGAAGGATCGAGTCCGCCGGGCGTCGTTCTTCACTAACACCTGGTAAAGAAATGGAAAATACAGGTCAGGAAACAATGCAAACATTTGTGCACAGAACAGAGCTTTTGCAGCCAACCAACAACAGTTGGGTGCAGAGAGACTGGCGTACAATCTGTTTAGCATGTTGCCATTATGAAGTTTTGTGCTAAGATAGGCTAAACACAGCCCAGAGCAATCTCTCTATGCACAATTTAAATGTAAATATTCCTTTCTCATCTGACTGAAAATGTCAGTGTCTTCCTTTAAAGGATGTAAAATGTCCTAAACTTCCGTCCTACCATGAAGCTGGAGTCTGGGCTGTTGATGTTGATGTTATTTCCCGGTCCTCCAGAGGGGGCACTGCCACAATCACGAGTCAGTACGTACTGACAGGTTCCCTGAAAGTTAAAGGTCCTGCCATCGAAGGTGTTGTAGTGAGGGTCGCCAAAGACTGTGCATACACCCGGTTCTGCAGAGGAATAGAAGCAAAGAGAAAGAGGAGTAAAGATTGAGTAAATACAGAATTCAGAGAGAGAGAACGACCAAAATAAAGTTCATAAAGAGAAGTTATTCTTAGATGCTTAAAATACCAGCAGTGGGACACATAAAAATGTATGTTTCTGTCGTTCCAGGATATCAAACAGAAAACCTGAGATGCAAGAGATTAAAAAGGACACATGTTGATGCCTGACAGCCAGCAGCAAAAGGATAATTAATGATAAATGGTGAAATATGAGGCACTAATCTGACTCACTCAGAAGTGGATCTGTGGTGTAGTAAAACGTCTGCTTTACCCACTGAACTAAACTCTACATTATGCAGAAGTGAGTTTTATGGAGTCTTTGTAGTCCTGAAATGGTACATTTACAGCCACTTTTGTTGACTTTTGCTGCAGGTCGCAGCCAAAAACCAAAGTAAAATGACCTCAGGGCAAACCACAGTCTGGACTGAAGTTCATGGGAAATGCTCAGCTGAAGCTGCGGAGGCTGGACTCAGATTTGTTTTCATTAACTTCAAGAAGGATGATTCCTAGATTTTACTTTATTTTTATTACCTTACTAAATATCACTGAATCAATATGTGATTTCACAAATGCATCAAAATAGATTTTTTTTTAAATTTTATTTTAGGGCCTCAAATTCTTCTTTTATTATTTAAGGATGTGTAATTCTCTAGAAAAGAGGAAGCTGGAGGGTTTAGAAGGACTTACTCACTTTCAGTGCAAACTGGACAGCAGCCAGTCCTGTTGAGGATCTTATTCTGCAAGAGACGGGGCAGAGACACAGTGTTAGTCATTTATAATAAAATATAGAATGTGTCTAAACATTACATTAAACATCACATCATGCACGTCACATATCTTACAATGAATGTTTTATTTCTTCATAGCTGCTATGTGAATCTGATTACAG